CTTTCTCGATCACCTCATTATGCTTTTGTGTTTCCCAAGTTGCATGTCTGGTGCATTTGTAGGAAACTAAGGAAATAGATGCGAAGGTTGCAACAAAAAGCTTGGGACACATTGGAACCCTGGACGTCCCCAGAGACTAAACAAGCAGTGTTTCTGATTCCCCAGACACTCGGTCCGGCAGGCGGGCGGCTGATTAGAGCACGCGTGCCCAGACATGTCCCTATAGCTCTGGCTGCCGGCCAGTCAGTGGGCAGCCCACCCTGCTTTTTGATGTGGGGGTTTGGCTCCAGTCAGTCCCGGCATTGTATCCCAAACAATGCACCCCAGACCTACTGAACTCCATAAACATATCCCTTTGTGGGCTTTTCCTCGAACTCAGGGTGGGGGACACCCACTGCCAGGAAGAGGGACTCCTGTGCAAAAAAAGAAGCCTGTGCCTCCCTGGGCTGGCCTGCTGACTGGGCATTCCTGCTTTTAAAGGGACAGTTCGCCCAAACATTCACACTTCTCCAAATAATGCATATTTATTTACCCTTAAAGGGTCAGTTCACCCATAAATGTATATTTATTCACCTATAAAGGGCAGTTTACCCAAACATTCACATTACTCGCCCTTAAAGGGACAGTTTACCCCAAAAATTACACTTATTTACCCTTAAAGGGGCAGTTCACCCAAAAATATCACCATTTACACACCCTTAATGGGACTGTTTACCCAGAAAAAAACAATTACTCACCCTTAAGGGGACAAAACACCCCAAAAATTACATCTACTCACCCTTAAAAGGACAGTTCATCCAATAATTCATATTTACTCACCCTTAAAAAAACGGTTCACCCAAAACTTCACATTTACTCACCCTTAAAGGAACAGATGATCCTAAAGTCGACATCTACTCACCTTTAAAGGGATAGTTCACTAAAAAATTACACTTATTTACCTTTAAAGGGGCAGTTCACCCAAAAAAATCACCATTTACTCACCCTTAAAAGGACAGTTCACCCAGAAAAAACAATTACTCACCCTTAAAAGGACAGTTTATCCAATAGTTCATATTTACTCACCCTTAAAGGAACAGTTCACCCAGAACAAAACAATTAGGCACCCTTAAAAGTACAAACCACCCCAATAATTCACATTTACTCGCCCTTAAAGAGACAGTTAATCCAAAAGTTGACATTTACCCACCCTTAAAGGAACAGTTCACCCAAAGGTTGACATTTACTCATCCTTAAAGGAACAGTTCACCCAAAAGTTGACATTTACCCACCCTTAAAGGAACAGTTCACCCAAAGGTTGACATTTACTCACCCTTAAAGGAACAGTTCACATTACTCGCCCTTAAAGGGTCAGTTTCCCCAAAAAATTACACTTATTTACCCTTAAAGGGACAGTTCACCCAAATATATCACCATTTACACACCCTTAATGGGACTGTTTACCCAGAAAAAAACAATTACTCACCCTTAAGGGAACAAATCTCCCCCCCCCCCCCCCAAAAAAAAATTACATCTACTCACCCTTAAAAGGACAGTTCATCCAATAATTCATATTTACTCAACCTTAAAGGAACAGTTCACCCAGAACAAAACAATTATGCACCCTTAAAGGGACAAACCACACCTCAAAAAGGGACAGTTCACCCAAAAGTTGACATTTACCAACCCTTAAAGGAACAGTTCATCCAAAAGTTGACATTTACCCACCCTTAAAGGAACAGTTCACCCAAAAGTTGACATTTACTAACCCTTAAAGGAACAGTTCACCCAAAAGTTGACATTTACCCGCCCTTAAAGGGACAGTTCACCCGAAAGTTGACATTTACCCACCCTTAAAGGAACAGGTTACCCAAAAGTTGACATTTACCCACCCTTAAAGGAACAGTTCACCCAAAAGTTGACATTTACCCGCCCTTAAAGGGACAGTTCACCCGAAAGTTGACATTTACCCACCCTTAAAGGAACAGTTCACCCAAAAGTTGACATTTACCCGCCCTTAAAGAAACAGTTCACCCAAAGGTTGACATTTCCTCACCCTTAAAGGAACAGTTCACCCAAAGGTTGACATTTACTCACCCTTAAAGGAACAGTTCACCCAAAAGTTGACATTTACCCACCCTTAAAGGGACAGTTCACCCAAAAGTTGACATTTACTCACCCTTAAAGGAACAGTTCACCCAAAAGTTGACATTTACCCACCCTTAAAGGAACAGTTCACCCAAAGGTTGACATTTACCCACCATTAAAGGAACAGTTAATCCAAAAGTTGACATTTACCCACCCTTAAAGGAACAGTTCACCCAAAAGTTGACATTTACCCACCCTTAAAGGAACAGTTCACCCAAAGGTTGACATTTACTCACCATTAAAGGAACAGTTCACCCAAAAGTTGACATTTACCCACCCTTAAAGGAACAGTTCACCCAAAAGTTTACATTTACCCCCCCTTAAAGAAACAGTTCACCCAAAGGTTGACATTTACTCACCCTTAAAGGTACAGTTCACCCAAAAGTTGACATTTACCCACCATTAAAGGAACAGTTAATCCAAAAGTTGACATTTACCCACCCTTAAAGGAACAGTTCACCCAAAAGTTGACATTTACTCACCCTTAAAGGAACAGTTCACCCAAAAGTTTACATTTACCCCCCCTTAAAGAAACAGTTCACCCAAAGGTTGACATTTACTCACCCTTAAAGGTACAGTTCACCCAAAAGTTGACATTTACCCATCCTTAAAGGGACAGTTCACCCAAAAGTTGACATTTACCCACCCTTAAAGGAACAGTTCACCCAAAAGTTGACATTTCCTCACCCTTAAAGGAACAGTTCACCCAAAAGTTGACATTTACCCACCCTTAAAGGGTCATCCAATATTTCACATGTACTCATCTTTAAAGGAACAGTTCATCCAAAAATGTACACTTATTTGCCCTTGAAGGGGCAGTTTACCCCCCCCCCCCAAAAAAAAATCACAATTCATTCACCCTTTCTGGGCAGTTTACCCAGAAAAAAACAATTACTTACCCTTAAAGAGACAAATAACTCCAAAAATTACATCTACTCACCCTTAAAGGGACAGTTCATCCAAAAAGGTACACTAACTCTATAAGGGTCAGTTCACCCAGATAAAAACAATCACTCACCCCTAAAGGAACAAACCACCCCTAAAAATTACATCTACATGTGTGCAGTCATCAGTGAAAGCAAAGTGCCAAATTGAGTAGTTTACATACACTTATCTAATTTTATTTATTCTGTGTTTGCTTCCTGTTTTCTATCGGTAATGATGCATGCCCAGCACACAAAAGCAGCTCAGCTGACCAAGAGTGAAGTGTTTGGAAACACCGTACTGTCATTATTATGAACATCAATTCAGGACAGGATTGTTATGTTTGGGTGAACTGTCCCTTTAAGTGGTTTTGACCCAGTTACAGGATGAGCACTCTGGTGTGTATCATGTAAACAACAGGTAAACAATAATAATATATTAAAATATTTTACATTTAACAGTTTACACATAGTTTACATACACAAATATACTGAAAATCAACAATAGGCAAGTTTCCACATGAAAAATACTATAGTAATTTATAGTAAATACTGCGTTTTTAAACTACATATGAAGTGTACACCAGACATTTGTTTTCAATTATTTCTAAATGAATGCTGTGATATATTAACAACAGTGAACTGATAAGCTGTAATAAATAATGCAGTATAATTTAGTTTTTACTACAGTAAACTGTAGTGTATTGTATTATTATTGTTGTAGAAAACTTAGTAGAGTATTGCGCAAGCTGCCTATATTACTGTAATTGTTGTGTTACCATTGAGTGAAGTACATTACCATAGTATGGCTCAATAACTCTACAGTATTTACTATAAACTATTATAGTGTTTTTTATGTAAACAACAGGTAAACAATAATAATATATTAAAATCTTTTACAAATATGCTCAAAATAAATAATAGTCAAGTTTCCACATGAAAAATACTATAGTAATTTATAGAAAATACTGTGTTTTTAAACTATATATGAAGTGTACTGTACCAGACATATATATATACAAGTATTTCCGAATGAATGGTTTAGTATATTAACTATAGTGAACTGATAAACTGTAATAAATAATGTGGTATAATTTAGGTTTACTACAGTAAACTATGTTGTATTAAAGTTGCACAAATGTAGTACAGTTATGAGTAATCTGCTTTTATTACTATAGTTGTTGTGTTACCATTAAGTGAAGTAATGTAAAATAGTATGGTTCAATAACACTACAGTATTTACTATAAACTATTATAGTATTTTTTAATGTAAACAACAGGTAAACAACAATTTTATATACATTCTTTTTACATTTTACACATACAATTTACATTCAAGTTTCCACATAAAAAATACTATAGTAATTTATAGTAAATACTGTGTTTTTGAAGTATGTATGAAGTGTATTATACCAGACATATATTTCCAATTGAAATATTAGAAATATTTATTATATTTCTAAATGAATGCTCTAGTATATTAACTATAGTGAACTGATAAATTGTATTTTATAATGTGGTAAAGTTTAGTTTTTACTACAGTAAACTGTTTTGTATTGTATTATTATCATGGTTGATTAGTACAGTATTGGCTAATCACAATAGCAACAATATAATCACCACATCTGATTAAGTGAAGTACTTTACTAAAGTATGGTTCAATAACACTAGTGTTTACTATAAACCACTGTAGTATTTGTTCATGTGGGTGAGTTTGTGATGTGTGCAGTCATCAGTGAAAGTAAAGGCTGTTATTATCAGCGCCAAATTGAGTTTACTTTCACTTACCTACTTTTGTTGTGTGTTTGCGCCCTATTTTACATAGTTTTTTTTTAGTTTTCTACAGTGGTTACATCAAACACAGCTTTCCATTCAAACTCCACACCTTCATGTGTCGCTGTCGAGTGTGAATGCGCATGCGCAGTTCAGCAGTCGATCAGCTGACCGTGAGTGAAGCCTTTGGAAACACTGTAGTGTCATTATGAATATCAAATCCTAAGACTGATCCTTTGGAAATTATTTTGTTGAAATTACCAAATAATCGCCACGTCGTCTCATTAACGTTGAACTCAGGTGAGATCCGCTGGAGAAACGGCGGTTTTAAGCGTGTTGTGTGTGATCGTGCTGTAACGTTTGCAGCTTTAGCTGTATTTGCTAGTGTGGATTAGAGCTGACTGAGCTTCGTCTTGTTTATATGCGTTACAAACGATTTATTAAGCTGTTTTAGATAGTCAATTGACATTATATTTCCTAAAGATATCGCAGTATAGATTTGAGTGTATTTATGCAGATTTCTGACACTGTATGGATGTAATACTGCGTGTTTATGTTGTCATATTTAAAGTTGTGACTGACGATGGTCGGAGGTGATCAAATATATAATATCAATACTAACTAGACAGCTCATATAAGATTATTAGACATATAAGAGAAGTGTCCATTCTTTAGATTGAAGGTCAGTCTGACAGGCCTCTGTTTCATCTCGTGACTTTCATTCATTTTGAGGAAATTACCCAATCAGGTCAGGCTGACCATGTCCACAATTAATATTCTCTTACTTTCATATTTATTTACATTCATAAAGCGCTCTGACAAAGAAAATACACAGCTTACAATGGTTGTCAGATTGTACCAATATTATTTTTTATTTTTTTTTTTTAGCATTTTTCATATTTATGTATAGCTGAATATAAAGGGGAAGTTCTAGCTCATGGAAAATACAGTCATATTTGGCAAGGTTAAAACTGTGATTTCAATTAAAGCATGTTTTGTGAGTTTATGTTTAGACGTAAATCATAATTTTGAAGTAATACAAGTTTTTTTTTTTTAACTATAATTGTTTACAGTTCTAAAGTATTTACAGCCCTTTCCAATCAATATTATTAGGAAAAAATATACAGGTTTACTGTTTTTGAACACATCTTAAAATGTTACTAAACATGAAATTTGTTGATTTTTTTTTTGTATTCTAAGAAATGAATACTATTGCAAATCCTACCTGCTCTATTACTGAAAAGAAATTCTGATCATCAAGGATGTTATTTTTATTCAAAGTATTGCTGCTTTCTTTTCCAAATATTTCCCAAGTGCAGATTTATCACAATTTTCACAATATTTCCTTTTATTTATTTTTTTCCTGGAGAAGATTATATGGCGTCAATCTAGGGCCAAGTATGCTTGCAAAATAAAGTTTTGCAACCAAAAAATGAAGTATTGAGCAAAAAATAAATAAGTAAATGCAAATCTTCCGAAATTACAAAGCAAAAATAATTTTTTGTGAAATAAAAATAAATGTTGCTAACAAAAATAAAGAACTCAAAAGGGAAAATTAATTTTTGAGAAATAAAAATAACATTTGCGAACAAAAAAGAATGCAAATAAAAATCAAGCAGTGTAAAAAAATAAATAAATTGCTTGTTAAAAAAATTAAAATATTTGCTATTAATAAAAAAAAAAAAAAAAGAGTAAAAATATAGTATATATATATATATATAGTTTTCAAGGGAACTTGGGTGTTTACGGCAGGCCCGGACCTTTAAGCCAATGGTTCTCATAGTGGGGGTCGCGTGACAATGACAAGGGGTCGCTTGGTGATTTCCAAAACTCAAATAAATTTTATTAAGCTATTTGATTGATCATATTTTGTTCATAACTCACAGAAGATAATTAATAGTTGCGTTAAAGAAACAACAACAAACAAATAAAAATCTGCCATCAGCCTTTAATTTTTATATTAAAATATAATTAAATTAATAAATGGCTAAAAAAACATTATATGGTTAATAGACTGTTGCATTTTTGTGTTGTCAATATGCTCATGTTTATAAATGCCTATAGTTGTGTCTGCAACATTTATATTTTTACAGTCTAACCACCTTGAAAAATGGGGGTTGCGAGTCACTGACATTGTTATTTTGAGGGTTGCGGGCTGAAAAGTTTGGGAACCCCTGCTTTAAGCGACGTCATCACCTGGAGACACAGTATCACCAAAGTGGTCTTACAGCCCAGTAGGTCTGGGCCTGTAAGTTCCCTTGTAACATTTTGGTTTTGTAAAGGCAGTGCTAAAAAAATGTTTTGCAAATATATACAGTTGAAGTCAGAATTATTAGTCCCCCTGATTTATTTCCCAATTTCTGTTTAACTAGGAGAAGATTTTTTTCAGCACATTTCTAATCATAATGGTTTTAATAACTCATTTCTAATAACTGGTTTATTTTATCTTTGCCATGATGACAGTAAATAATATTAAACTAGATATTCTTCAAGACACTTCTATACAGCTTAAAGTGACATTTAAAGGCTTAACTAGGGTAATTAGGTTAACTAGGCAGGTTAGGGTAATTAGGCAAGTTTATTGTATAACAGTGGTTTGTTCTGTAGACTATCAAAAAAACAAAACAATTTTTCTTAAAGGGGCTGATAATTTTGTCCTCAAAATGGTGTTTAAAAAATTAAAAGATGCTTTTATTCTAGCCAAAATAAAACAAATAAGACTTTCTCCAGAAGAAGAAATATTATCAGACATACTGTGAAAATTTTCTTGCTCTGTTAAACATCATTTGGGAAATATTTAAAAAAGAAAAGAAATTTAAAGGGGGGCGAATAATTCTGACTTCAACTGTATAGTTTTTTTTGCAAATATATATATATTTTTTTCTTTGCACTGCTTGATTTTTATCTGCAGTTCGTTTTTTGTTTGCAAATTTCATTTTTATTTCTCAAAACTTAATATTCCCTTTGCAGTTTTTTGCCCATTGCAAATTTAATGTAATATGGTTTGGTATATTTAGCTTCAGCCCACACCCCTCAATCAAGTTTAGTTTTTGTCCCTTTATAATAAAAGGCTTGGGCACCCCTGCTCTAGAGGGTAAAGTTTCAGCTCAAAATAGCACACAAATAATGTTTTGAAACTAACTCTTTTAGGCTTTGATCCTAATTGTGGCGTTTTGGTGACTGTCACTTTAAATTCAAATGAGATTTTGGTCTTTTCAATAGAGCGCTGAGCTAAAAAACACCTATGCATCAGCATAGTGGCAGATTCAGAGTGTATTAATTCTTATTAGCATCTCTATGTCTTTTCAGACTCTCCATCACTCACTCATTCAGCAGCCATGACAGAGTTCTGGTTGATTTCTGCTCCCGGAGAGAAAACCTGTCAGCAGACATGGGACAAACTAATGACGGCCACAACACGCACCAACAACCTCTCCACCAACAACAAGTTCAACATTCCTGATCTCAAGGTCACAGGCTGTTCCTCTTCCTCTTTTACAGCACTTCTTTTTACACTGCTGTCTGGAATACTTGATTATGATTGGTTATTCATTCTCTGCTAGTTCACCCAAAATTTAAATTCTGTCAACATGTTCTCACTCTTACTTGTTCCAACGTTTCTTTATTCTGTTGAACCCAAATGAAGATATTCGGAAGAATGTTGAAAACGGGTAACCATTGACTTGCATTGTGTTTGTTTTTCCTACTGAGGAAGTCAATGGTTACAGGTTTTCAGCTTTCTTCAGAATATCTTATTTTGTGTTCAACAGATTAAATAGCACTTGAAGGAGAGTAAATAGTGAGTACATTTTTTATTTTTGAGTGGACTGTGCCTTTAAGAATGTTCACAGAAATCTTCATGTCGGCCAGTAAATGATATCAAATCAAACTGTGATCAAATGTATGTTGATAAGCTCTAGAGATTTTTACTCAATATAGATTGAACTGAGAGCCAATCACACAGCAGAAAAATGCAACAACAGCCAATCAGCATCATACGTTTAATCTAGCTTTTAAATCCAGACTGTTGGCAGAATAGTCTTGTTACTTTTGTTTACATTTTGCACATTTACCTTCTTTTTTCATAACTTTTAGTTTTTTATTGTTTTAATAAGGGCCAAATAGGTGAGGCAGTGGTGCAGTAGGTAGTGCTGTCGCCTCACAGCAAGAAAGTCGCTGGTTCGAACCTCGGCTCAGTTGGCGTTTCTGTGTGGAGTTTGCATGTTCTCCCTGCCTTCGCGTGGGTTTCCTCCGGGTGCTCCAATTTCCCCCACAGTCCAAAGACATGCGGTCCAGGTGAATTGGGTAGGATAAATTGTCCGTGTATGAGTGTGTGTGTGTGGATGTTTCCCAGGGATGGGTTGGACAGGGCATCCGCTGCGTAAAAACTTGCTGGATAAGTTGGCGGTTCATTCTGCTGAAATAAATGAATAAAATGTATTTACTTTTATTTTATTTTAATTTATTTTTATTTTTAATTAAATTTATTTTAAATGAAAATTTTGTAATAATTTTTGTTTTATTTATTAAATTGTATTTTTTAAAATTTTTATTATTTTTTATTACTTTTCTTTTTATTTTTTAAAATAATTTTCAATTTTTTATTATTAATAAATGTTTAATATTTTTTATTATTATTAATAAATTTTTAAATGTAACAACTTAGTAAAACAAATATTTAATGTGGTTTTGTTGCCTTCAAGTGACATTTCACATGCACACACAATTACTGTGACAGAATAATAAAGTAGTCACTGGGAAACACCCATACACTCTCATTCACATTCACACTCGTACACTACGGACAATTTAGCTTACCCAATTCCCCTATAGCGCATGTCTTTGGACAACCCAACTCCAGTCTTTTGGAGGAAACCCACGTGAACACTGTGAGAACATGCAAACTCCACACAGAAATGCCAACTGACCTAGCTGAGGCTTGAACCAGTGACCATCTTGCTGTGAGGCGAGAACCTACCCACTGCGTCGCCATGATTTAAATTTAAAACTATAAAGTCTGACATTAAAAAGCTAAATATAATAAATATAATGAATAGAATAAATTTATTTAATAATTATATATGTATTTTTAGTTTTATTAATTCTAATTTGTGTAATTTTTATGTAATATATATATATATATATATATATATATATATATATATATATATATATATATATATATATATATATATATATATATATATATAAAAAATATTTTTTAATTTTTTTGGTACAACATTTTTATGTGGTTTTGACGAAATAATTAAGTAGTCCTTTTAAAACTATAATGTCTGAAATATAATAAATATATTTGAATATAATAAATTTATTTAATAATTATTTTATTTGTATTTTTTTATAAAAAATATTTATTCTATTTTTTATTTATATATATATTTTTAAATGGAAAAAACAAAAAAACAAAAAGTTGATGTGGTTTTGTTGATGACTGTTTTCAAAATATCAGGCTTATATATGGAGAATATTCACCAAAAAAAAAACGCAACACTTTCATGATCTTCTCTTTTTGAAAGAGTTGTTCCCATTGGTGACCCTTCTGCCCTGTGTCATCCTAACCAGTCGTTTTCCGCCTGACTGGGCGGGAACAGAAGCGGCGCCACTCTAAGCACCGGCGGCCCCTGATGTTTCTACCATTAAATCCAGCCTGGCTGAGTTTGTTCTGCTGCATTATACTGGATGCTGATCAAAGTGTCTCTGTTTCTCTTCACCCAACACCGCAGGTCGGCACTTTAGATGTGCTAGTGGGACTGTCTGATGAGCTGGCCAAGCTGGACGCTTTTGTGGAGAGGTAAAGTTTGTCTTTTACATTCAGCATAATACTTTTGACGTACTGTTTGTGTGTACGTTGTAAAGAGTAATTACATTTTTTTCCCAAATATTTCCCAATGTGAGATTTGAAAACATTTTTAAACATTCTAATTTTAATTTCTTGTAAGTGATGTCAGTTTTAATGACTAATGTTTAGTAAATAATGTTGTCTATGTGAAGTTTCAGCTCAAAATAACCCATAAGTAATGTTTTAGAACTCTTTGAAATTGACTCTTTTAGGCTTTGAATTTGCTTTAAATTCAAATGAGACTGTGCTCTTTTTAAAAGAGGGCGGAGCTACAGATGCCTGTGTGTCAGCATAGTGGCAGATTGAAAAACAAGACTAACGTCCTATGCTAATGAGGGAGAGATAGTCACTAGTGGGCGGGGCTTTCCTCCCTCTGATGACATGTAGATGGGGAGAATGTGTTTCTGCAGACTGTTTATATCAAGTCTGATTATAAACAATGCATTACTATTAGAAGCTGCTTATATTCAGAAACAGCTGCAACACAACTGTGTTTAAATGTGATTTTTATAAAAGGGATTTTTACATAATAGGTTTTAACATCAATATATTCATTATTTTCACATTACAGAATTAAATCAATGCACAAGTACACATTATTTTCTAACCACCCTACTGAGCTTCCCCATCCTTTCTAGACAGACCACTTAAATGGATCTTATTGTGAAGTATTTGGCTATAAAATTCAACATGGGAAGGAAAAACAAACAAACAAATCTAAAAGAAAAATGAACGAATAAATTAATTACTATAATTTCGAACCACCCGAACCCCCCCTGGCTATGGGCCTGGAGTAGTGTTTGCAGCACTGAGTTGTTGGGGTTTCTAGCAAGAGTGTATCGGTGGTCAGAGTTTTGTCAAACGTACATGTGTTTCTTTCCTCCTGTGTGCTGAGGAATCTCATATAGAGGTGAGGATATCATGACATCTACCTAAAATGAGTTATTAGCACTTTGCTTCCATGCTAGCTTCTTTTTCAGAGATGATATGTATGGCTCATCTGTATGATGTGAGATTTTGATTTCTCTGCCTCTGATAAATCCAGATATACTCTAGTGTTTTGAAGTCTATTATATTGTATATATTTTTATATTTAAATATAATTTAAATGTAGTTACCTGATAAAAATACTGCAGCATACTTTAACTTTACAGTGAACAGTGGTTTATTGTTGTATTTTATTTAAATATATATATATTTATATATTGTTTATATTAGAGCTGGGCAAATATTAATCAATCATATTTAAATATAAAAGTTTGTTTAATATATATATATATACACATACATACAGTTGAAGTCAGAATTACCCCCCCCCCCCCCCATTGAATTTATTTGTTAAATATTTCCCAAATGATGTTTAACAGAGCAAGGAAAATTTCACAGTATGTCTGATAATATTTTTCTTTTGGAGAAAGTCTTATTTGTTTTATTTCGGCTAGAATAAAAGCAGTTTAAAATTTTTTTAAAAGCCATTTTAAGGTCAATATTATTAGCCCCTTAAAGCTATATTTTTTCAAAACTCTCCAGAACAAACCATCATTATACAATAACTTGCCTAGTTATCCTAACCTGCCTTAACCTAATTGACCTAGTTAAGCCTTTAAATGTCACTTTAAGCTGTATAGAAGTGTCTTGAAGAATATCTAGTCTAATATTGTGTACTGTCATCATAGAAAACATAAAATAAATCAGGTATTAGAAATGAGTTATTAAAACTATTATGATTAGGAATGTGCTTAAAAAAATAATAATCTGCTCTCCGTTAAACAGAAATTGGGGGAAAAAAAGGGACTAATAATTCAGGGGGGCTAAAAATTCTGAGTGTAAATTTATATATAGATGAGACTGCTTGTTAACGAAATTTCTAATCAGCCAATCACATGGTAACAGCTCAATGCAATTAAGCATGTAGACATGGTCAAGACGATCTGCTGCAGTTCAAACTGAGCATCAGAATGGGGAAGAAAGGAGATTTGAGTGACTTTGAACGTTGCATGGTTGTTGGTGCCAGACTGCTCTAGGGTTTTAAGAAACTGCTGATCTACTGGCATTTTCACACACAACCATCTCTAGGGTTTACAGAGAATGGTCCGACAAAGAGGAAATATCCAGTGAGCGGCAGTTCTGTGGACGCAAATGCCTTGTTGATGAGGCCAGAGGTCAGAAGAGAATGGCCAGACTGGTTCCCAGCTGATAGAAAGGCAACAGTTACTTAAATAAGCACTCGTTACAACCGAGCTCTGCAGAAGAGCATCTCTGAACACACAACACGTCCAACCTTGAGGCGGATGGGCTACAGCAGCAGAAGAGCACACCGGGTGCCGCTCCTGTCAGCTAAGAACAGGAAACTGAGGCTACAATTCACACAGGCTCACCAAAACTGGACTATAGAAGATTGGAGAAACGTTGCCTGCTCTGATGAGTCTCCATTTCTGCTGACACATTCAGATGGTCGGGTCAGAATCTGGCGTCGTCAGCATGAAAGCATGGATCCATCCTGCTTTGTATCAACAACTCAGGCTGGTGGTGGTGGTGTAATAGTGTGGGGGAGATTTTCTGGCACACTCCCGGCCCGACAATATGATCCACCTTCACTGTCTGTCCCACATCTAGGAGAGTTACGGTGTGGAGAAGCCCCAAATAAGCACACCACCCTGAAAAGGGGCTTCTAGGCCACCTCAGTGTTTGATGTTATGCCGAATTCCCTGTTTTAGAGCTTTGGGGAGAGTTTTCAGAGGGTTGTGAACTCTTCTGATGTTGTTCACAGTGTGGTGAAGAAGGTGGCTCAGTACATGGCTGACGTGTTGGAGGACAGTCGAGATAAAGTGCAGGAGAATCTGCTGGCTAATGGAGGTCAGTATCACTGCTGTCTGTGGCGTGAAATAAGATTATACAGTTTTCGTTTTGTTGATTGTATCCCTGCTGTGTTTAGTGGATCTGGTCACCTACGTCACGAGATTTCAATGGGATATGGCCAAATACCCCATCAAACAATCCTTGAAGAACATTTCTGAGATCATTTCCAAGGCAAGTGATCTGAATCTATCCTTATAGAAAACTATGATTATTGTTTATTTAATGGCATGTCAACAGCATCATGACAACAATAATTCTGAAAACTCAAGTGCAATAAATGCAATAAAACCAGCAATACAAATGAATGCAAGATATATTAAATAATATTTTGTACATTAATTAATTATGTAAAAATAAATGTAAAAAATCTGGTCAGTAAATTCACTTTATAGAAGAGTTTCTACAAACATTAAAAGCAGGAGAGTCCAATAAAATATGTTTTACTGAGAAATATCTGTGAAGTTGAGTCCTCCTGTTATGGTTTTGATGCCGTTTTAAATGAAACTCTCTCGACTCTCTCCCCCTGCTGTTCACAGCAAGTCTCACAGATCGACAATGACCTGAAAGCTCGAGCATCGGCCTACAACAACCTGAAGGGAAACTTACAGAATCTAGAGAGGAAGAATGCGTGAGTGCATTTACACATGTCAGATTAACTCACATTATTAGTTTTATTTCATCATTTAATTTAATATTTTTATTTTATTGTGTGATTTTAAAACTGATACTCAAAACTTTGCTCCAGTTTATCAGGAAGTGACCATTTTGTCTGATAAATTTAATTAGCATCTTTGGATGGAAATAGCTATTGTAGTACAGTGTAAACCAGTGTTTCTCAACCAGGTTCCTGGGGGCCCAGCAGCACTGCATGTTTTGGATGTCTCCTTTGTCTGTCACACCCATTACAGATCTTTTAGTCTTTGCCAATGATGATCTGAATCAAATGTGAGAGCTGGTGGTCCTCCCGAAACGTACTTGAGAGACACTTGTATGGACATAGCCTTTTCCAATCAACTAACGTGTGGTTTTGTGTTGTCATCAGAGGGAGTCTGTTGACCAGGAGTTTGGCTGATATTGTCAAGAAAGACGACTTTGTGCTGGATTCGGAGTACCTCATTACTTTACTTGTAGTGGTACCAAAGTAAGTGACGGATTCCTCAACACAAAAAAATGAACAAGTCTGAAAATATTTGAAGACAGTCACACAACTCCTGAATTGCTCTTATGCACATGCTCACAGTGTGTTTCTAACCATTTAGGACAAATTATACTGACTGGCAGCGCACGTATGAGACTCTTGCAGAAATGGTGGTGCCACGATCTACAAAGTAAGTATGCATTCAGTGATTCTTAAGTAAGGAGACATTCAGTGATTCAACAAGAGGCAATACACACAAGAAATGCTAATTATACAAAGCAACTGCTAGTGCTCAGAAAATTAAGAGCTAGAGTTAGTGGGAGAACTATGTATGTATATATATATACATAGTCATATATATATAGTCCTGTAGGGATAGTTTACAGTTTAACCCAAAGAATGACCAGTCTGGTAGATGAAGAAGAGCCAGAGTCAGAGATTTAAAAAAAATAAATTAAGTTTACTGAAGATAGTTTGCAGTTTCATTTGCAGAAGCCAGCTTCAACACTCGCAATGAGTTCCTAGGCCGCTCTGCTTACAGTTTCAACAATCGAACAATTATACTCTTTACACAAGTCCAGAAAGGATGGGATCCAGGTAAACAGTTCTCATTGGTTACAACAGAAATAGACAATTCTAAATAGATGCGTCAAAGATACATAGTATCTACTTCCAGATATGGATGGCCTTAATGCGTGCGTCAAAGAAAGCATTGTATCTGTCTCCAGATATGGATGGCGACCTGATGCCTAGAGGTGAGGTCGCCTTAAGTTATTAGGAGCTGATCTCCGACCTGTAAAAAGCTAAACCAGGAAAACAATAGACACAAACGACCATCTGTGTTAAAGACTCAAGGATGTTTCTTGTACGTTCAGCTGTGTTATCAGGCTGGTTCAAGACTGCTTCCATCAACAGTCTGCTGCAATATCTTCACTACACACAGTCTGTCTCCACACAAAAAGGAATTACATTAGAATTTATTATACTCAAAAATAGATCAATCAAACAGCTATAATATTATAGGCAATATCAGGACAACTAGAACAGGTGTCTTCTTCTCCTCTGTATGGGGAGAGAGAGAGAGATCTCCATGACCTATGACCTGGTTTGTGTGTCTCCAGAAAACAAAGTTAAAATAGACAGGCAAAAAGAGAAACAAGGACACAGAACATTCTTGCAGTAAGCAGTTTTAACTTATTCATTAGTTAAAATCAATTCACAGTTAAATACTGAGAAACAGGATGATGAAAAGGATAAACGTTGGTGCATGATGAGACGGATTGGAAAGCAGAAATCCGAATCCTTCAGTCCTATAGAACAAAATCACCACGACTTACAAATAAACAATATTGTACTGCTGTTATTTAACAAAATGTATCAAATTATAGAAATATTACAGAGTAAAAATGTCAAATACTGTAAACAGTGGTTAGGGTAAGGAAAAGTTACCATGAACTAAACTGAACTGTTAATAAAACATTACCACTGATCTGGTTGAACTGAACCGAAACCAGCAAACTAAAGTAAAATTCTTAAAATGATCATAACCATTTTATAATAATCACCAGTTATTTGCTGTTCTGCTTTTGTGTGGGCTTTCTTGGCCTTTGCTACACGGTGAGCACAGTAAGATGTACTTCTATCTTCTTTAGCCATTACATACTTGTTTTGAACATGATGTTCGGCACTTTTGTGATGCCCTCAGCTATTGGAGTCGTCTTAGAAAATAGTCCACTGGTTTGTCCTTGCAACTGGGATGTTTGGTTTCTAAATGTCGTTTTAATTTAGGTTTTATGCTCTCTTGTGAAAGCACCTCACTGCATATGACACACTGAGGTTTTAAGCCTTTTTGGCGTCAAAATATGTAAATCTACACTTTACATATTCGGGGTCGTACTTGTGCTGGAATTTCACATGTCAAAAGGGTATATGCCGAGCTAGTGTTTTTCCATATTGATAAACTTCTGGTGACCTGTTATTGTGAACTTTTTCCCATTTTATACGGTTCATTTTACAGCATCGATGTTGTAATGTTATTAAAATACATTCAGTTAAATAAACTTTAGCATTCATTTAGTTGCTCAAGCGTAAAACGAGACAAAAAGCTGTTTACTCGCACGCGACCGTCAGAATCGGCAGGCTAGTGCAGAAGCTCAATTGAATATACTGGGGTAAAATAAATGCTCATATTATAAAGACATGGCGGGGGGAAATGTAATTTAATGCAGTGCTTCTTGTACAATCTGAGACCCACTTTATATCGGATATCACTCAGCTAGTGGAGATCGTTGATTTTTAAAGAAAACAGACCTTAAACACGCCAGTTTTTGCATTGCATACAGTTCACCGAAAGCTCTTGTGCTTGTCCAAAATTAAAAGTCCCAATAGCAAGCTTCATCGCACGCGCATTTCAAAATAAAAGTCCGATATAAGCAAAATAAGTTAAATATTAAACTTTTGTTGTTGTTTTTTTTATCTCACTCTTCGCGACCCACCGAAAATGTTCGGGTCGCGACCCACCAGTTGAGAAACACTGCTATAGGACACACAATACCCCATAATGACAATGTGAAAAAAGAAATTGTTGCAAATTTATTAAAAATAAAAAGCTGAAAATCACATGTACATCAGTATTGACAGCCTTTGTCATGAAGCTTTAAATCGAGCTCAGACATATTCTGTTTCCACTGATCACTCTGAAGATGTTTCAGCAGCTTCATTGGAGTTCACCTGTGGGCAATTCAGTAGATTGGACATCATTTGAAAAGGCGTACACCTGTCTATATAAGGGCCCAGGGTTGACAGTGCATGTCAAAGTACAAACCAAGCATGAAGACAAAGGAATTGTCTGTAGACCTCCGAGACAGGATTCTCTCGAGGCACAAGGCTGGGGAAGGTTACAGAAACATTTCTGTTGCTCTGAAAGTTCCATTGAGCACAGCGGCCTCCATCATCCGTAAGTGGAAGATGTTTGGAACCACCAGGACTCTTCCTAGAGCTGGCCGGCCATCTAAGCTGAGTGATCGGGGGAGAAGGGCCTTAGTCAGGGAGGTGATCAATAACCCAATGGTCACTCTTCTGTCTGAGCTCTAGAGTTCTTCTGTGGAGAGAGGAGAATCTTACAGAAGGACAACCATCTGTGCAGCAATCCACCAATCAGGCCTGTATGGTAGAGTGGACAGACGGAAGACACTCCCCGCCTGGAGTTTGCCAAAAAGCATCTGAAGGACTCTCAGACCATCAGAAACTAAACTCTCTGCTCTGATGAGACTCAAATTGAACTCTTTGGCGTGAACGCCAGGCGTTACGTTTGGAGAAAAGCAGGCAGCGCTCATCACCAGGCTAATAGCATCACTACAGTGAAGCATGGTGGTGTTGGCATCATGCTGTGGGGATGTGTTTCAGCAGCAGGAACTGGAAGACTAGTCAGGATAGAGGGAAAGATGAATGCAGCAATGTACAGAGACATCCTGAATGAAGACCTGCTTCAGAGTGCTCTTGACCTCAGACTGGGGCGACGCTTCATCTTCCAGCAGGACAATGACCCAAAGCACACCGCCAACATATCAATAGAGTGGCTTCACAACAACTCAGTGGCCCAGCCAGAGCCCAGACCTAAATTCGAAGGAAAATGAATAAATGATTGAATGAATGATATGTGGTATGAGTATTGAAATTCTCTGTACTGATCGTTAGTGTTGTTTTTCCCCTCTGCAGTTTGCTTTTTGAGGATCATGACAGCGGTCTATTTACCGTCACACTCTTCAGAAAGGCTATCGATGACTTCAGACACAAGGCCAGAGAAAACAAGTACGCAGACTATCTCAGCTCCACATTGAGTTTATCAATCACATCATTCATATCCAGTGTAAAGATGCTTTAGTGATGCCAGTGTCTGATTTACAGGTTCACGGTTCGAGATTTCCAGTACAATGAGGAGGAGATGAAAGCGGATAAGGAGGAGATGACCAGACTCTCCACTGACAAGAAGAAACAGTTTGTATGTACAGTGCCCAAATCCCATATTTAAATGCATATTTTCTACAGGAAGCTTTACAATATTGTATTTGTGCATATACATTGAATTAGTCAGTACTGAAGTTAAATCTGGAGCTTATCTAACAAGATAACTTAAGATAATGGTCTAAAATGGGTACACCTAAATTTATATGTTATGGAAAAATATTACATATAAAATTTAAAAAGAGCTAATTTAGTGAGAAACAAAAAAATATATAAAATATTGTTGAAATTTTTTATTTCGTAATTTTTGTCCTGAATATTTTGCATGAATTTAAATATATAATCTTTCTTATGAACCTGTTTGGTGACTAAAATATTAATTAAATAACTATATCTGTTTAATAAATCTGTTTTGTTTGAATGCACCAAAATATGACCTATATTTAAAGGAAAATTGATAAATATAATTTTTCAGAATGGGCTGTACTCATTTATGCTTTTGAATGTATACTCTGTAGGGTCCACTTGTTCGGTGGCTGAAAGTGAACTTCAGCGAGGCGTTTATTGCTTGGGTCCACATTAAAGCTCTGAGGGTCTTTGTGGAGTCAGTCTTGAGGTAATATTTCATATCCTACTCATATTATGTTTACTACATTCCTTTTTAAATAAAAGCTCACTCTATTATGCCAAGCTTAAGATAAAAAAATAAAGAAAATGATTTAAAAATTTAATTTTTTTATGTTTATTGGGTTTTTACAAGTTAAATACAACATAAAACAAAGTACAGTAGATCTATCATCATCCAAAATACTTCCCTATACATGCCCCAAACCTCCACTCTATAGTGCCACAAGTAAACCATGAACATAATCAAACTAACTAAAAAGACATGGAAGGTGATATCAAAGCATTCTGTCCTGATATACCTAGATCTGTCACGGTATCTGTTTTGTCGTATGATATGTTGCAGCAAAATATATTGTGATAAACGATATTATTGTCATTTTAAAAGGATGTTATGACACTCATCATTATATAATGCCAGAATGACAGTATAATATCATCAAAATGCAAATAACACATCATATTTCATTATTAAGCATATTTAATTTAATTAAAGTAATTTGAGCAGTTTAATAATGAGGCATTGGAGTCAGAATGTTAAAGTGCATATCCTAAATAAATAATATTAAATGTGAACAAGTTAAAGAGTAACAGAGGCTGTGATATCTGCTACCAGATCTATTTTAAGTTGTCAGACACCCACATGAGAATATACTATAGTAATTTACAGTAAATACTACAGTGTTATTAACTATGCTGACCCTGACACCTCCAGTAGAGATAGAGATGTTGCACAATCAGCTAAAATGTAGGTTTTTATGTATGGCTGATATATATTGCATCACTAAAAATGATGAGCTCGTGTCCATGTGTTGTGCCATAAGTCCATATATTGATTATTGGGACAGGCCTACTTGCACCCAAGTAAAAAAATAAAGCTGAATAAAATAAACCGGTGGATCTTTATGTTGTAGTTGTTGTTAAGCTTATTAAATAATGTGCTCATGGAAAAAACTAACTTAAATTTTATCACCCTGAATGAACAGATATGGATTGCCAGTGAATTTCCAAGCAATGCTGCTCCAGCCCAATAAGAAGAATATGAAGAAGCTGAGGGAGGTTTTGTACGATCTTTACAAGCATCTGGACAGCAGCGCTGCCGCCATTATTGACGTAAGGCCTTCTTTTCTTTTTCTATTTTGAGCAAAGGCTGTGGTTTTGTATTGTGTAAAGTACACATGAAATCAAAACTAACCATATTGCTTTTGTTAGCTCCAGTGGTGTAAAGTACTTAAGTAAATGGACTTCGTTACTTTACTTAAGTATTTTTTTTGGCTACTTTGTACTTGTACTGAGTATTAAAAATATAAGCAGCTTTAACTCTCTACTTGACTACATTTTTGATTGAATATATGTACTCTTTACTCCACTACATTTGAACGGACGCTTAAAGTTACTCGTTACATTGTGATTGTAAGCGACAAGTTAGCATTTCTATCTACCACGGCTAATTTGTTGGGCGGATGAGGTGATATCGCCATCTGCAGGCTGCTGGAGGTACTGTATGCTACTTATGAGCTAAACCACGTGAATATGAATTAGCAGCTTGCCAAATACCAGGTGTTTAATTAGCGACACGGCTGCAGCAAATGATGAAGCTGAAGTCGGAACATCAAGTAGTGCCAGCACTGATAACCATCCGTGGCCTTATCTGAAAGAAATGTTTTCATTTGCCGATGTGCAGAATGGCTCTTACAGGGTGTAGGGTCTACTTTATTTGCCACAAACCACAAAAATAAGTGCTTTTAGGAATTTATCGTAAAATACATTGAAGTAAGCAGGGCCGGAGTGGGACTCCTTTTCAGCCCTGGAGTTTCAAGCCTTGGACCGGCCCATCTCAGTTCACGACTGACTTTTAAAATAAGGTAATTTCCAATTCAGTTTCTAAAGACACTTTCACGTCATTTTTCAAGAAAACAGCTGCTTTAGAACTTCAAATTTCCAACAACCCTAACAGTATTATATGTCCTAACAATAAAAAATGAAAAAAAAAAAAAATAATTTTTCAGATGAGGTTCGAACACGAGTCGGCCGTGTCATATTTTAACGTGCTGACCCCTGGACCACAGTGGCGCTGTTGATATTATGTGGCTGTAATGAAAAACAAATATGGCACTATGACCTGCAAGACTTTTATTGATGGCTTAAACTTTTTCTCTCCTTTTTAGATTTCTGATCAAGTTATGTCAGATTTATTAATGTAGTGAATCATCTGATTTTCATTGAGCAGGTGTATTATTAATCAATATTAATTATTCGAATTCTTACATTCACTAAGGTGCCGCTGTTTAGAGTCGAATGATGATAGTTACATCATTAATAATTTGCAGGCTGCATTTTGTTTACGGGGCTGCGAGAAAAAAAATAAAAAGAGCGGAGCTGCGGCAAAATAATGAATAAAAAGAGTGAGGCTATGGTCAAATAAATAAATAAATGAAAAAAAGTGCAACTGCTGAGAGTGCAAGCAGCTAGGGACACCGGCCCTCGTGGCCAAAAAATGGACCGGCCCACCGGGAATTCTCCCGGTTCTCTCGATTAGCCAATCCAGGCCTGGAAGTAAGAGTCTATTTAATGTTAATTTAATGTGAATTAAGTGAACTTAATACAGTTACTGATATGGTAAAAACCACTGCGACATGACATGGCTATGTTTTAGCTTAATTTTTTTGTGTAACGTGAATAAATGTCTTACTGAAGTTTCTTTGTTTAATAATAACACAGAGAAAACATCCTACTCAATTGAAAAACTACTAAAAATAAAAGCATTGACCCCCGTTGAGACTTTTTGTTAAATTTTTTTTATCTAATTTGTTCTGCTATTTTGAAACATTGAGGTGTTCCATTTTATTTTTAATATTAGAAAATAAAACCTTTCTTAGTGTTCTTTGAGCCTACATTCAGTATGAGTAAAATACTTAAGTTCTTTTAAAATCGCATAGTTTAATACTTTTACTCAAGTCTTATTGGAATTGGTGACTTGTAACTTGTATTGGAGTAATTTTTACAGTAAGGTATCTGTACTTTTACTCAAGTATGGTTTTCAGGTACTCTTTACACCTCTGGTTAGCTCACATTGCTAGTTTAGTGGTGAACAATTCATCTGTGCAGGTCATTAAGAAAAAAACAAAACGTTTTTTTCCCCTTTATCTTTATTAAAATCTGCAAATGCACTTCCTGTTTGTTTGTAGTTAAATTGTCAGATTAGATCTGTCTAAGGTAGTGGGTGTAGCTTACATAATTAACCATAAATGGAAATGACAAACTGTAACCCTAAGCTTATTGGCATTTCTTCCAAGGCGCACACTAAGCAGCCACATTTTATTAAAACTACAGAGCTTCAGATACTTAACAGGGTTCAATGCTAAGGACATTTTCTACTGACCCGACTGGACCAGCGGTTCAGGTTTTTACTTGCCCTGCCAAAATGTTTACTGGCCCCACCAAAATAAATAAATAAATAAATAAAAAAACAGCTATTTCTTAGCCACATATTTGAAACAATGTGTCAAAAATAATGTCTGTGAACCTAGAATAAAAATATTTAAGACAATGTTAAAATATTTAGCAGTAAAATACAGCAGTATGGAAAATGTGTATGTATTTTATTGCAAAACAAAAGGTGGCTGACTTAAAAGTGACAGAAAACTATGCAAAACATCACTTCATTTTTTTACGTCGTCTTGTACCCATGTAAATGTCGGTTTCCACGTTAGAAACAGATTTTTTTTTTTTAGCCTCATAATTTGATGTTGCCGTCTCTTCACTGTACTGGTTTTTACCTGGTTGTGGAAAATAATAATGTGCTCACAACATCCAATCAAATAAAAGGAACCGAAAAGCAAGATGGTGTTTACGACTTCACAGAAATGGTAGCAATCAAAGACTTAAAAGCAGAAATAGTTTTTCGATTCTCAGACTGTATTTGCACACTATTGACAAATAGTCGCAGGCTACTTAAAATTTTGTGACAAGGCAACACTGGCCTGATCGGGCCAGTGACGATTCTCTCTACTGTCCTGAACATCTCTCACGCTGGCCCCGGGCCATCGGGCAGTGCTTATTGTTGAGCCCTGCTTAATTTTTTTTAATCGATGTTGACAATGGTGTTCGGTCAATAAATATCGATTTTATCGCCCAGACCTAGAACAAAAAATACCACAGTGGCACTCAGCTACATATCTCTGACTCATATTTGCTCCGGTTTATCAGGAAGTGATGAACTTGTGCTCTTTTACTCATTTGATTATACACAAACCTTTTATAAGATTTGCTTAAATCTTTGGATGAAAGATGTTGCCCCTGTGCATCAACATGCTAAAATAAAAGTCTCAGCAACATCCTGTTCAAACAGACTTTAACAGCTTAAAGATGTTTTTCTTGTCTCTTTTCCGCTTTCAGCAATCTGCTATGGACATTCCTGGCTTGAACCTCAGCCAGCAGGAATACTATCCCTATGTGTACTACAAAATCGACTGTAACCTGCTGGACTTCAAATAGAAGCGCTGTCCTTTTCTCCTCCATCATGTGCCCGTCCTTTTGTTTTCGTCTCTGTGAATAAATCTAAGTTAAATGAAACTGTATACTGCTGAACTCTTGATCTAGTCTCCCCATCATCACGCATGCTCATTCATATTCAGAGGTACTTCTCTATTGCTGTTTAAATCAATGGCGGCGGGAGAGTATCTATATCTGCCGCCCGTTGTGTTTTGTTTACATTTTTTTTTAAGAGATCGTCATTGTGTTATCATCTGTGCAGGTGAATGAAATCATGCGTTTAAGTCATTCCATTCATGTTCTGTGACGTGTTGAAGGTAGTGCTAGATAATACTGTGTGTTTTTAACCCTTTATTCTTTTTGACATGCATCGGTGGTTCATTTAAAACAAACAAAACGGCCGAAAAAACTAAACAAAGTGTTACAAAGATGCAATATAAATGTGATGTTATGTACATTTGGTGTTTAAAAGAGTTATATGTGCAAAACTATTGTGTCATGGAACCAAAATATTAAATTATATAAGTACATAGAAATGTGTGTTTTTGTTTCTTTTTGTTTGTTAAACACATGCACTTAATTTGCATATGATATTTTACTTTTTAAACAGTGCAGCGTATAGATTTAATAAACATAGGTCAATTACATAGACTGGAAAAGACATGGATGTAGTATTCGTGACGTCACCCACAAGTTTCTCAAGAGCGCAAATGAAGCTACAAGTGGGCGTGGCCAACTGCTGCTATTTTGTTACGTCATCGCTTCAACCAGCGGTAACCAAATAAGGTCTAAGAGGTGGAGCTACAGACGCCTGCTAGTATTTTGCTTAGACTGGTTTTCCTTTGAGAGAAACGCTTACTACTTCATTACCTGCGACTTGTTTGTGTTCTGACCACATGTGCTTGGTTGTATACTATATCAATAAAGTGTTTAGTCTTTTAAAAACACTGCTGTAACACATTAAGCCACTAAACATTGTCCTTATGACGTTTCTCTACAGGAGGGAAATGCGAATTACTTCCAAACACTTCACATATAGTCTGTGTTAGTTAATGTAAGACTATTGATGAAATCCAGCATAACACTGTATGACAACGCTTCAGATGACTGATCTAGAGCCTACAGCTAATCAATCTGGCAGATTCTGGAGTGCATGCAGTTCTAAAGAACATTTTAAATGATCTTAAATAAAACAAACACATGTATAGAGATGTTATATAAGTATATAACTTCACTCACCTGGGAAATGGGAGTCCACGTGAATGGTTTGTGAGCACAATTAAGTGCATGCAGCATGCCATATCATCTGATAATTGTAGGAAATAATTCTAAAAGGCAACTGACTGTGTAAAGCCACATAAAACAACACAGAAATACGATGTACATGCAGAGTTCAGCAGCTAATCAGCCGGAATCAGCTGAGGTGACGAGACAGTGAGCAGTAAGATCTATCTGTCACTCAAGTGGCCACGCCCTTAATTATGCAAACTCAATATAAAGGAAACGAATGAGTTATAAAAAAATTCACCCCCTCGAAGTTGTCATGAAGGGTCATATCTATATGAACCAAAATCGTTCTTTGTACCAGGCTGTAAACACCTTTTCTTTTCTGCTGTAAAGTCTGCCATTTTAACAGTGAGCTAAATAGAAATTTGCTCCATATCGAGCCAGCCAGGATTAGCGGATTTTTGCTTCACGACTTGAGGGAGAGCGGGAGTTTGCCGCTTAGTCAATTATCATCTCTAAAACATTTATAGCAGAATCTGTATGTATAAATTTAACTCATTTATTATTCAGTATAATTACGTTTATTGGTTAAAAGGGTTTTAATAATATCTAAATGAAACATTAAAGACAACGATTCAATATGGAATAAATAAATATTATGTATATGTCTCGACCCTAGAAATTGTAAAAGCATGTTTATTTATAATTAGAAGCAATTATAAATACAGAGTAATTCTATTTGTTATGTAAAGAATATGTTTTATTTTAATGCTTAATAAGTAGGCTATTATTATTTATGTTCACACTTTTCTAAAACGTTTTATTAGTTACTAACATTAACTTAATATGGACAATACTACTGCAGCATTCAATAATCATCATATGCATCATTAAATAATGAAATTAGTTAACTCAAAATTATCTAAAAGTTAGTTCTGCTCATTTGAAAGGAGTTTTGAACTCAGTGTTGAAGGTAATGAGTTCATTAAATACCTCATTACTTCAACTGAAATGGAGTTCACAGTACTCATACGGATTAGTTTTTGAACTCAAATGGTTTGTAGCAATCAGTTTCCTCAAACTGTTTGAGTAGCCTTAACTTATTGCGTTTCACAGTACTTAACTGGTTTGAGTTCACTTCATTTATTGGGTTTTACTGTCCTCAAAATGCTTCATTTACTCAAATGGATTAAGTTCACTGGACTCATTAGGATTAGTTTTTGAACTTAAATGGTTTGTTGAAATCAGTTTCCTCAAAAGGTAATTTATTGGGTTTTACAGTGTATATTAAAAGATCTTAATTTCTGTAAGCAGTACAATATCCACAATCTGTAAGCAGTTCTCCCCTTGTTGGTTTGGGTTCCTCTGGGTGCTCTTTTCCCCGAATTTAATAAAAACTAATTAGCCAGAATGTGTGAATGAGAGAGTCAACTTCAATCTTTAAGTTCACTAAACTTAAACCTTGTCCATTACACTTGAATAACAAAGCCCTATCAACATCATTCATAATTACAACAATTTATCTAAGTTAACTAAACTTGACCACGTCCATTACACTTTTGTCAAGTCCTGTCAACTTTAACCTGAGTTAAGACAACTTCATAATTTTATTAAAGTAAACTTAAAAAATTTAAGGCAGCACAAACACTTATTAAAGTTGAAACAACATTTTTGTTTTACAGTGCACTAAATCAAAAGGTTACTGATTATCATGCGATAGCATTGTATTTGCTCAGGACTCGGTCATGTTGCTGGTTTTATCACTGAAGAAGTTTGATGGCTGTGTGGATCATCTGTTGAGCAGATCCAGCACAGGTGAATCAGTCTGATCTCACAAGAAAACGTAAGTATTTTACGCTTTGCCAGTTTAGTGGCTAATTTGTACGAGTTCAGTTGTACGAAATTGTACGATTTTAAAAAGGAGGTGTGGCACCTAACCCCACCCCTAAACCTAACCGTCATTGGGGGATGAGCAAATTGTACGAATTAGATCGTACAAGATTATAAGAATTAGCCACTAATTCAAAAAGTTACGAATTGCCGTGAGATTGTGTTGGTGAATCTCTGTTTGGTGCCACGCCGTGTTTGTTTCAAATCTCCGCAGAACAAAGTAACTTCAGCACACGGATCGAACTACAATAACCAACATTATTATCATTAAAATTGATAAAGATTAATAAAAACTATAATAAATGAACAAACAAAACTTAAAAAATAAATAATAAATATTATATAAATTATAATAATAAATGAATTGCTTTTGTTAATAAATACACTAATACAAACACATTGTGGAGTATGACCTTGTTTTAAATTAACACTAAAAACCCATGCTTTACTTGATTAATTCCTATATGCAATGAGATTTTACAAGGATTTTGAGTTAAGAAATTAAACTTACATAATAATGCATTACTTTAGGACATGCGAATTATAGAGGTAATTTAAATACAATTTTAATGGCGTAATAAGTAATTATTAACTGTTTTTAACTAACCTTCCCAACACTTTATTTTGTTATTGCTGCAATGACGCGCAGATGTGTTGATAAGAATGCGCGTCCGCGGTGCTCGTGACCTGGGCGCGGGTGAATTCCAGCAGAGCAGATCCACGCTCGTGTGCGTGTTTAAGATGCTCTCGGTGTAAAATAGTATAAAATAAAGAGGAAGGTAATTTAATGGTGTAATTAGTAACTATTTTAACTAACCTTCTCAAACAGTCTCTTTTGTTATTGCTGGAATGACGCGTAAAAGGTGTAAAATCAGGAGGATGGTGTAAAAAAGCATGTGTAATTAGTAGGTAATAACTTTTCTTCAGATATCTCTTGTTAATGCTGGAATGACGCGCAGCGGTGTTTATATGAATGCGCGTTCCCGATGCTCGTGACCCGGGCGCGCGCGAATTCCAGCAGATTCGCGCTCGTGTGTGCGTTTATGATGCTCTCGGGCTCGATGGGCTGCGGGGGAAGCAGATCCGCCACGATTGAGCCCCGTTATTACGAGAGCAGAGACACCGAGTCTACGTGGCTGACAAACACGGACACGGAACGGACAGCCGCCGGTAATGGAACCGGCGAGAGCGCGGGCACGGGCACGAGCGACAATGACAATACAACAACAGCGGCTGCCGGTGCAGGTCAGACACGAGCAGATTTATTACAACCCTAACATAGAAATGACACGCACTGAGGGAAAAAATACACATTACATAACATAATAATAATAGCATTCGTGTATAAAACAACACCCTCATGATGACGCATTCGTTATAAAGCTGTACACAGTGCACAGCATAAATAAGTGCACCACATTTTAAAAATGTATATTTTCATTTATTTTATCCACATAATACATTTTGGTGCATTAAAAAAGTTTTATTAACAGTTATCAGTTATATTCATTAAAATAAGACTGGTCAGCTTCTTTGAGAATAGATATTACATTTAAATTCAATCAAAATACTGCAACAAATATTTTTTTCTCTTAGATTTTTCCATTTTATTAAAAAATAATATTTTTCCACAACAAAATTTGGATATTTTGTTATTCTGCTATATATATATATATATATATATACACAATTTCAACAGAATTGGGATGAAAAGTTGGATGGAAATATAGTATTGTTGTTTTTCAGTGGGCAAATAATTATTATTATGAATAAAAAAAATGTTTCCTACTTTGATTTAACCTCCCAGTAACTTGAAATTTAAAACATTAAACTTTTATGAAAGTTAAAACAATAAACTTTGTTCATGTTTATCTTTTTATTTTAGTTTTATAACTTCAAATCTCACATTTAAAGTAACTAGGAAAGATTAGGGCAACAAAATCTCATATCATGCTATAAGTCATACAGTGCATCTAGAAAGTATTGATAGCACTCCACTTTTTCCATATTATTTCATGTTACAGCCTTTATCCAAAATGGATTAAATTAATTGATTTCCTCAACATTCTACACACAATCTCCCATAATGACAATGTGAAAAAAAGAGTTTTTGAAATTGTTGCAAATTTATTACAAATAAAAAAGCTGTAAAATCAGATGTGCATCAGTATTCACAGCTTTTGCTCAATACTCTGTTGATGCACCTTTGACAGTGATTACAGCCTCAAGTCTTTTTTGAATTTGATGCCACAAGCTTGGCTCACCTGTCTTTGGGAATGTGTGCCCGTTCCTCTTTGCAGTACCTCTCAAGCTCTATCAGGTTGAATGGGAAGTGACAGTAAAGAGATGTTCAATAGGATTTAGGTCTGGGCACTGGCTTTTCACATTGTCATTATGGGGGATTGTGTGGAGAATGCTGAAAAAATTTTTTTTATTAAATTCATTCTGGAAAAAGGCTGTAACATTAAAAAAAATGTGGAAAAAGTGAAGCGCTGTGAATACTTTCCGGGTGCACTGTAAAAGGGATTCATGAAAAGGATTATTTATGTTTTTACATTTGAACTCAAAACTATTATGCTACTGTTTAAAAATCCAGGTACACTTTTTAATGAAGAATGCGGAATAATATAAAAATATAAAATAAATATAAAACACTTTTCAAAAACCGGCAGAACATAAAAAAATTGGCAAATAAAAGGCTACATTTAAACGCTGTATTTTGTGATTTGATTTATGTTTCTGTCTGCTTATCCAAATGATGAAAAACCATTGCTGTAAACAATTTATTTTGCGACACCTAGAAATATAGAGCATTAATATTAAACGATCTGTCAAAATCCTTGTTTCTGATTGGCTGGAGGGTGTGCGTTAAATTCGTTTGAATGCACAGGTAGTTCCAGTCAGTTTTGATCACAGTTGGAAATAAATGCACAGAGTGAGACCAAATATCGATTAATAGGTCTCAAATATCCTCCTGTAAAATATTTTTCTTTTTCAAATATTTCTCAAGTTATATTTAAGGGATTAAGAAAATTTTCACAGTATGTCTGATAATATTTTTTCTTCTGGAGAAAGTCTTATTTGTTTTATTTCGGCTAGAATAAAAGTAGTTCTTAATTTTATAAAAAAACATTTTAAGGTCAATATTATTAGCCCCCTTAAGCGATTATTGTTTTGGATTATCTCCAGAACAAACCACTGTTATACAATAACTTGCCTAATTACCCTAACTTTACCCTAATTAACCTAGTTGAGCCTTTAAATGTCACTTTAAGCTGTATAGAAGTGTCTTCTAGTCTAATATTATTTACTGTCATCATGGCAACGATAAATAAATCAGTTATTAGAGATGAGTTATTAAAACTATTACATTTAAAAATGTGTTGAAGAAATCTGCTCTCCGTTAAACAGAAATTGGGGAAACAAATTAATATACAGGGGGGCTTATAATTCAGGAAGGCTAACAATTCTGACTTCAACTGTAGTTCTGGGAGTCCTGCAGTGGCATAGACTTGAGATGCATTGATGTAAAAGCAGATGAAGAACTGTAGTGTTGTTATTGTTGTTGTGAAGGTCAGAGGGAAGAGAAGGCCGTGACAATGAGCAGAAACTCCTCAGTGAAGGAGAAGCGGCTGGTGAACGCCGGCACACAGTGCAGCAGAAACACCACCAACAGCCAGAGGAGACCCTCACACAGAGACACAGAGGTACACAAAACATTTATTTCACTGTATACGCGAATTGGATGCATTTAAAAATGTGAACGCATTTACAATCGAGATTAATCGAAAGACCCGGCTGAGACTGTGTTATTCAACTGTTGTTATCTGGGAATAACATACCTTGGAATGTAGCGACTGACCAATCAGAATCCATTATCCTGGTCAAACGTGAAATGTACTCCAGTCCATTATACTAGTAGAAAGTAATGCATACACAGCTTCACACCATGGCTCCATCACCACCTTGAGCAGGGCTCGAAATTAACCTTTTTTCTTGGTAGAACCGCTGCTCCTAACTTTAAAAATGTAGGCGCATCAGTTAAAATTCAGTCGCACCCACCAATTATAAACACCATTACTACAAGTAAAATACAAACAGATTTATTGCTTTTGAAATCAAAACTAATCAAATTAACAAGCAAAAAATAAAAAAATAAAAATTATATTATAAAAAAATTATAAAATATATATATATATACATGCAAGAGGGAAATATGTCTCAACAAAATCCTGTTATTACAAGAAAATAGATTTTTATAAGATAACTGAGTGACCAAAAGGTACACGGAGCGCTCACCGGCCCTGCACGCACTGCTTGACATGAATGAATCTGTTAACGGTATAACTGTGCTGTTCTCACGGGTGCTGTCTGATATTGAACTGATGCTTTTGACATATACTGTACTTTATTATATGCATACGTCATGTTAATAGCAATACTGGTCTATTCATGAATAGCGATATTAGTTTACTCAGTGCAAGCCCGTTTGCGATGGTGTACGTGGTGTTTTATTTTACATATAGCTGCCACTTGCACGGCGGACAGCATCTGGCGATTATATGAAAACAGAAGCTCTCATGCTAGATGTGGCAAACAGTTACCTGAAAATTCCATCCCACAGACTTTTCATAGCAGACTTGAAGCCAATGGAAATCTTTTATCCACCCTTCGAAAAGTGTAGATGGTGGATTAAAATTCAGCACATGATCACTAGTAAGATGTGTCATTATTTGTAACTTTAGGTGGTTTCTAAACCAAATCTGTCAGCAGGGGCGGACTGGGACTAAAAATCAGCCCTGGCATTGTAGCCACACCAGCCCACATTACCACACCGATACAGCACCACCCAAGGACACACACATTGACTACGTATATTGGTGTACAGATGGTAAAATTATATAAGCAGTACCTATTTAAGAGATGTTTAAACATTTAATGTATGTGACTGTTTCCCAGAGATGGGTTGCGGCTGGAAGGGTATCCGCTGCGTAAAAACTTGCTGGATAAGTTGGTGGTTCATTCCGCTGTGGCGACCTCGGATTAATAAAGTGACTAAGCTGACAAGAAAATGAATGAGTGAATGAATGTATGTGACTGGAACAAAAACAACCCATTTATATATGCAATCATGTCATTCATTTTTTTTTGGGCTTGTTGCCTTTGTTAATCTGGGAATCGCCAACTTATCCAGCATATGTTTTACACAGTGGATGCCTTAAGGCTGCAGGGCAGCAGTATAGCATGTGTTTGGACTTGCGAAGGAAACCAGAAGAAAACCCACGTGAGCAAGCGCCACACAGAAACACCAACTGACCCAGATGAGGCTCAAACCAGCGACTTTCTTGTTGTGAGGCGACAGCACTACCTACTGCGCCACTGCACTGCCCCCTTTCGAGACTAGTTCTGTAAATTTTATGTATTTGGCATTGTCTGACTTGACTGCCTTTCCCTTTTTATGGTCCATCTCTGACAACAGCTTGTGTTGCACTTACTGTTAGTTTGAAATTCTTGCCAGATTTTGATTACGTCTGCGTAACCTCAGATTGTCGTCAGTCCATCTCGAAACCAGCCGGTTGTTGCCGATTGGGCCAATGCTTAACATTTAGTATTATACTTACTATTATCACCATCATCATCATCATAATATTCACATCTCGTAAGAGATAAAAGCTATTTAAAAAACAATACATATGAAAAAAAAAAAAAAAAAAATAGCTGACCGGCCCACATTTAAAAAATGGTCCGGCCCTTCTGGCATTTGCCAGAATTGCCAGATGGCCACTCCGCCCCTGTCTGTCAGTGTTATTTTCATTCTTGTAAATCTCTTTGTCATCCCAAACCAGAAGGCATTGACTGAGTGATTGACAGCTGATATTAACCAATCCATACGCGTTCAGTTCTAGAGCAGTGGGCCAATAAGAAGAGCGCGAATGTGGGGGGCAAGCATTGCGGACTTTGTTTACTGCAGCAAGTTGACATGATAACTGTTTTAAACCATTCCTGAGTGCTGCATTTCAAGTGCAATGATGAATTCTGCGTGAATGTCTCCTGAATCACGCATGTGGTGAACATTTTACAGCAAAACTGGTCGCTGTTCGCACACAACAATTTTATTCACTCGCACAAATGCTCCCAAATATACTTTGAGGTTGCATAGATAATATTTTGGGCGCATATGTGACCAAAGCGGTCGAAATTTCGAGCCCTGTTGTTGAGTGTGCATTATTTTCTAATAATTCAACAGCCCACAGTCAGTTATTCCTTAAAAGAGCTGAACACTTGTATCTCATCATGATATGCAACCTCAAACTTTTTTTTTGTTTTGTTTTCTTGCAGGTTAAGAGTAAATCTAAGAAACTCCCTCACGCTGATGGGGTTAAAAATGTGTGTCCGGCTGTAAATTCTGAAGCTGTATCTTGACTGAGAGTCTGAAAGAGCCACTAATGAAGGAGTTGGGTCATAATTAAATGCATCTGATTTAATTGCATGAGCGCTGGAGCGGATCCTAACCCTGATATGCTGCAACACAAGCCTTCACAGAGCTGCATCTCTCTTTCTGAAGGATTCAAGATGTTGTTTATTCATGTTTAATATTTGTTGTTTCATGTATCGGTTCGCGGGATTTCCATCAGTATTGTTCTAGTGCCTAATAAGTTTGTCACGATACTGGAATTCGGTACCAATCCATACTGAAGTTTTAGAAAAACGTCCCGCTAACATTTGAGAGCTGTTGAGCTCGTTATTAAACAGAGCTGATTTGCCATTGTGTTTACATGCTCAACAGAAATGGCTGTGATTGGCTGTTAAGGTCATCAGTTCACTGAACTCACTGCTGTTTACTGAGTGTAACCTCAGATACAGGGAGCGTTTTAAAGTCATGTCGATCAGCTGGTTTGTCTATGAGCTGACATTCAAGCAATCTGCTGATGAATCATGGCTTTAAAATCCTCCAGTGTCCCTGCATCAGTGGTGACACTCACTAAACAGCGGTGAGTTCAGTTAACTGATGAACTTCACAGCCAATCATAGCCATTTCTGTTGAGCACATCAACACAATGGCAAAGCAGTGCTGTTTAAATAGTACAAATGAGGACTTCTCCCTCAATCCCCGGGTCTGAATGCAGACTCAGTGCAGCAGGTCTCTTGCCCTGCCTATTTCAACCATCAGCCCTGCTGATAATCTGGAGGGTTTAGGCAAACACAGCAGCACGGCGATGTGTCTAAATGTGAACGAACTCCTGATAAAAGACAACGTCCGCCATTCTCCAATTCTCGTACTGCTCTTTTGACAAAAATGCTTGCTGCACACAAACAGATTTGCTGTATCGGCCCTGACAGCATCACGGGGAAAAACATGCAACAAACCCTGTGGATCATGGAAACAAACACATACCACCCTTCATGAACGGCTAAATGCTGTGTGCTGTGGGTCTGTGGACGCGGTCTCACCCAGTCATCAACATAGGATCCCACAGCTTGGCACTGGCAGGTCTGCTTGCCTTCGGAAAGCACGCTCAGTCATGAATAATTAAGAAGCCGCTCTTCTCATAGGACAATAAAACTCTGCTATGAATAATAATGAGAAACCGACGCGTCATCTTTGCAGTTTTGCGCTACGTCGACGATTTTGATCCGCCCCAAAAATCATTTTAAACCCGGAAGCTGAAATGAGCTGACAAAAGCTCAAAATTATCCAGTTTCCCCCACAATTAAAGCTGACAGGTGCTAACATTGTCTTAACTAATGCTCAACACACACAAATCTGTTAACATCTCAAAAAAAGCAATCGAGGGTTTCGTAAACCTTTAAGAACGTGCGCAACAGAGCTCAAATGTTAAGGGGAAATGGACTTTTTTAAAACATCAGTATCGATTGGTACTGAATTGCAGTATAGTGACAACACTAGCTAATGAGTCTGATAATGCAGATATACAGATGTCTCAGGTCGTGGTTATCAAATGAAGACATAAAATGAAAATATTGTTCTGTTCCCCAATTGATTATTCATGATTTATGTTTAAATTATTTACAGGGAAAACATAAAAGAATTTCCTGAGTAAAAACAGCACAAAATTTGATATTTTACTACAAAATTAAGCGAGTTGTAAAAAAATGTGAATAAAAAATTGTATTAAACTAAAATATTTGCTTGTTTGATTTTTACTTTTGTTTTTATCTCATAAGTCTTTGATATTTCGTACAAAAAAATCTAACATGACTAATTCATAATTTTTTTCTTCGGCTCAGTCCCTTTATTCATCAGGGGTCGCCACAGTGGAATGAACCGCCAACTTATTTAGCATATGTTATTATGCAGTGGATGACCTTCCAGCCGCAACCCAACACTGGGAAACATCCATACACTCTTGCATTCACACACACTCTCATACACTACAGCTAATTTAGCTTACCCAATTCCATTGTAGTGCATGTGTTTAGACTGGGGGGGAAAATGGAGCACCTGGAGAAAACTCATGCCAAGATGGGGAGAACATGCAAACTCCATACAGAAATGCCAACTGACAGAGCCAGGGCTCAAACCAGCGACCTTCTTGCCTTAAGGCGACAGTGCCACCGCAAAACTAATTATCTTCTTTTTTTTTTTCTTGACAACTGCTTGTTGGTTCTGACTTATTTTCAGAACTGTAGGTTTGGATTAGTGTTGGGCGATATACAAAATCCAAAATAATCCATACCTATTTTCTAGCCCGAAACCCAACCATAACTGTAAATTATTCCCAAAATCAGAGGGGAATAATAGATGGATAACACTCATGTAGAAGTGCATAAACCTACCCGTAAGCCTAAAATGACTATAAATGGTAAACATATCCCTTAATTCTGATTGGCTGATTGGAATGTTGTTTCAGGATGAACATACAGTAAATGTTAATCCAGGAACATCTCCTACTTGGTGAAATTAGTTTGGCCGTGTCAATATAGGTCCATTGTGAAATTATTAATTATTGTGAAATTATTGTATTTTTTCCTCTTGAGTTGGCTAGTCTAATTGTCAATTTCAATGCATGTTGTGTTGCAGTCTGAAAGTGTTGGTTAGGCGATGTTAATCTAAACTGGACAAAATAATCATAGTTAATTTATTATTAATGTAAATTTAAAATAATAATAGTGATTTTATTCAATAATGAAATTAAAACATTTAATAGCCCTACATTGATGCAAAATGAGCAAAATGTCGTCTTTAAAATCAGCACAGGCCTCAGCTCTCTGCGATATCCCTGCCTATCATCGATAAACGATACTATCGCTCAACCCTACTTTGGATCTATTTAATTCTTCTACAGCTTAGTCCCTAATTTATCAGCGATCGCAACAGCGGAATGAACCACCCTTCCCAGTGGATGTCCTTCCAGCTGCAACCCAGTACTGGGAAACACCCATACACTCTCACATTCACACACACTCATACACTATGTGTTTGGACTGTGGGGGGAAAACGGAGCACGAAACCCACACCAACACCGGGAGAACATGCAAACTCCACACAGAAATGCCAACTGGCCCAGCCGGGAGTCGAACCAGCGACCTTCTTGACACCACTGAGCCACCCGGGATTCATTCATTCATTTTCTTATTGGCTTAGTCCAGGGGTGTCAAACTCAATCCCTGGAGGGCCGAAGCCCTGCACAGTTTAGTTCCAACCCTGCTCCAACACACTTACCTGTAGGTTTCAAACAAGCCTGAAGGACCCAATTAGTTTGATCAGGTTTGTTAAATTAGGGTTGGAACTAAACTGTGCAGAGCTGAGGCCCTTTTGGAATGGAGTTTGACACCTGTGGCTTAGTCCCTTTATTAATCTGGGGTCGTCACACTTATCCGGCATTTATTTTACATAGCGGATGTCCTTCTAGCCACAACCCATCACTGGGAAACACCCAATTCACCTATAGCGCACGTGTTTGAACTGTGGGGGAAATGCCAACTGACCCAGCCAGGACTCAAACCAACGACCTTCTTGCTTTGAGGCGACATCGCTACCCACCGCGCCACCGCTTCGGATTCATTCAACATGATGCAAATATTATAGAATGCTGTCAGTAAATAAATATCCATGAATTAGATTCACACCACAAGGATAATTATTGTATTTAGTTTATTCTGTTGATCATCACTGGCTCAGGAAAGAATATAAAAAAATAACTTGACAGTCACTGATCAAAGTTTCCTCCTATGGACTGTTTTAACATGCACATTTCAGCTGCTGTTTAGTTTTCTTTTAAACACATTTATTTACATATCTTAGTTTCTATATACCCAAAGATGATTCTTAAGATATTAAACATGTCGACATTTTAAAAACCCACAGCATTTGTGCAGATGTTGAAATGTATGTGCAGTTTTACTGCAAACAAAACCGATTTGAGACTGTAGGGGACCTATTATGTGCCTTTTAACAAGCTGTCAAATAAGTCTCTGATGTCTCTAGAGCAGGGGTGCCCAAACCTTTCTTATGAAGGGCCAAAAACCAAACTTGATCGAGGCTAATGTGCCAAAGGTAAGTAAAAGTTGTCTTGGGTAATTTCCTAATTTATCTAATAATGTTTAAAAATGACTATAAAACATCTGAAGAGTTTAGATGCAAAAAGCTCTAAATGCCATCTGAAATTTTCCTCTAAAATGAGCATTTTTATCAGGCGCCTGTGTGTATGTTCAGTAATATCACTTTTATGGCAAAGAATAATAATAATAATAATAATTCCTTACATTTATATAGCGCTTTTCTGGGCACTCAAAGGACTTTACACAATGGGGGGATCTCCTCATCCACCACCTGTGTGCAGCATCCACCTGGATGACGCGACGGCAGCTATTTTGCACCAGACCGCACACCACACACCAGCTGATTGGTGGAGAGGAGACAGTGATGAAGCCAATTATGATATGGGGAGGGTTAGGAGGCCATGATGAACAGAGATCAGTAGGCAGATTTGGCCAGGATGCCGGGGTTAAACCCCTACTCTTTTCGAAGGACAAGGGATTTTTAACAACCACAGAGAGTTGGGACCTCGGTTTAACATCTCATCCAAAAGACAGCACTCACTGGGCAGTATAGAGTCCCCGTCACTATACTGGGGCATTAGGACCCACACAGACCACAGATTGGGCGCCCCCTGCTGGCCTCACTAACACCACTTCCGGCAGCAACTTAGCTTTCCCATGTGGTCTCCCATCCAGGTACTGACCGGGCGCAGCCCTGCTTAGCTTCAGTGGGAGAGTTGCAGAGAGCTAGCTGCCAGCTGTAATAAGTCCTTTTCCTGTTTTTTAAAGTGAAATATCCTAACATAAACTAAATTTCAGATGACACTTGGAGGTTTTTGCATCTGAACTCTTCATTTCTTTATATTACCGAATACAGGCTTCTTACATTTTATAATGAACTTATTACAGTTAAAACAAAACAATCTCATTTAATACAGAATTACACTAGTTTTTGCCTTGATTTGCTTGCCGATGTCTTCTGCATAGTCCTCAATCCGTCGAGTGAAAGTATTTGCAATTTTTAAAAAATCGGTTTCATTTACAACTTTTAATTAAAACAACAATACAGCAATAAAACAAACAAACAAACAAAAAAGGTCATGATGATCTTTGAACTGTTTTAAAAGCTTTCGCCACAACCCTCTCCATCATTCTTACCCTCCTCTCAAATGGGGCAGGCCCTACTTTGGGCATCTCTGCTGTAGAGTGTGTGTGTGTGTGTGAAGTTTCAGCTCCAAATATCACACAAATACAGTTTTATAACTCTCTGAAACAAACCCTTTTAGGCTTTGATCCTAATTGTGGCATTTTGGTGACTGTCGCTTTAAATTCGAATGAGATTGTGCTCTGTTCAAAAATAGGGCGGAGCTACAAATGCTTACTTGCCAGCATAGTGGTAGATTCAAAAACAAGACTAATGTCCTATGCTAATGAGGAAGAGATGTTCACTAGTGGGCGGGGCTTTCCCCCTCTGATGACACGTACAAAGGGAGAATGTTAATCAAAGTGTTTCCGCAGGTTGTTTTTATCAAGTGGGATTCTAAAAAAACAAACTAATAAATGTTTACCATCATCAGCTAGTTATATTCACACATCTTGTCGCACAGCTGCGTGTAAACCCCTTATAAAAGTGATTTTTGCATAATAGGTCCCCTTAAAACTGACTTGATGGATATGCAATGCTCCCAAAGGCAATACTCCTAAGGCAAATGAACAGAAGAGCCAATTAATAAAAACAACAAGGTGCTAAAAATGGCTCTCGTGCACACTGACATCAGTCTTTCTTCATTTAGATCCGATTATTTAAGGAAAAAGGCAACTTGATAAGATCTTGCATCAATGACTTAACAAGTGCAAACTCTTAGATCACACACTGACTAAAAAAACAGGCATCACATAATTTTGATAGTCCCTTTATCGCATTTTGTTGAATTCAAGTTACATTGCATCTACATGCGAACTAAATCTCATTAGATTATAAGTAGAATGTTAGGTTGGGGTTAGTGTAAATTGACATGTACTTGCAAAATTTCTTATAGTCAGTTAAACGTCTGTTGAAGGATAAGTATCAGCAGATATGCAACTCTGCAATGCAACTTTTAGCCAACAAAATATGCAAAAGGAACCATCAAAATAAAGTGTTACCAAAAAAACAAAACCTAATCATCAAAACTATTAAGCATCACATGAATCAAATTGATACGATTCTGAAATGCTTCGTATGCAGTGTTTCACCATGAGCAAGAAGCAGTATATTAGTTAACATAAAAACACAAAAATACAATCCTCAGATAAAAATATGAATACAAATAGCTCTTATACACAAGATATCTTGGATATCTCTCAAAATAAAACTGCCTAAATATCTGTTTGGTGCTAAACCAAATGCATGTGTGATTTAAGTGACGAATCGTTGACCCATAAACACTACAACACTTCATTGTTGAAATGTGATTTAAATATGTTTAAATCACTACACATCTAGATTTTGGTACCATCATCCTCATAACAAACAAATAAAAAAATCTCTTCCACTTACATGATTGAAATCTGTACATCCCAGATTGTTACCGGACATAAAAAAGCATAAATTATATAAAAATCAGTAAAAATAAATGGAACTCTTAAGGTTTATAAACTCATGGACCTCATCATGCCTGTCAATACAGAAAACAGGGCGCATAGGACTCGCAGGGGTACAATAATCTCCAAATCACTCCAAGGCAATCAACATACGCCGCATTCACAGTCAAATCTCACTTATATATATGAGGATTATGAGCTGTACAAATATATACACACACACGCACACCATCAACATCACAATATGAAAGTCACAGAGTAAACAAGATCTCATGGTGGATCTGAAAGTCTTTTAACCCTTCAGAATTCATGTGGATTTGTGCTTATGGGTTTAACAGATTGAATTTCAACATGAGACACACTAAATATTTTTTTCTTTACACATTTAAAGTCAAAACTGACTCCTGGTGCATGTTCCAGGTCTTATTATTAACAACATGCAGTTCCTGTGTATTTTAAATGATCTTTTACTGAATATCGGGGTTGCAAATAACAAGACAAGTCTGTGAGACTATTGAATATTCAGTATATTATCCAGAACTAGCATCATGAGGAACTACAAACTAGCAAATAATATTTGTAACGTCATTTCATGTTGACAAATAATTTATGAAGACGGTAAACAGAGATTAATTCAGCAGGGCTTTCCACTGTGGCTATTATTGTCGTTTTTAACCACATGGAATATATAACATATTACATTTGTAATTCATAACTAGTGTTGGTAGCGTGTTTTAGCCGGAGAAATAACTGTGGCGCCAAACTCGAGTAGCGCGAATAGTACGAACAACGCGAAAGACCGCCAAAACGCCTGAAAGAAAATCAACGTCAACGTTATTAACATTAAATGATGGCAAAACGACTACAATAAAATTAATCATAACCAAGCAGTTTACAGAAATAGCGTCTACAAGCGACATTTTTTTGTCATGATGAAATGATGACGTTAGCAAACAGACACGGAAACACCGCTTGTCGTACAAACCATCGTTTTAAGCGTTTAATATCACACTGTGATGGAAAAACGCGGCTATAATGGAGCGAAGATTTTAATCCTACCTTTTTATAGTCCGAATAGTCCATTCAGCGAAATTTATCAATGAATGCTAAACTAGAGTGAACGGGTCACGTGCTGCTTTTGTCCAATCAAAGACGCGGACTCTGCAAATATGAACGTTAATGGTTTTAAAAATGTGGTGTCACGCTAACGAATTTTTTTTAGCGAAATTCGAAAATTGTTGACAGTAGCAAAGCCAAAAACAAAGCCCTTTATTTGATAATCAAGCTGTCAAGCCAGCCTGACTATTTTAAGCAAAACATGCATAATAAAATAGTGAAAATTCCCACGAGTCTTAATTTTGACTGTAAAAGTTAAGCGAACAATATTAGCCAATGTGGCCTCAGAAGAAATAAGTTAAACCAGGATTTTTAACACCTGTTCACACCAAGGATAACATTGACAACATAGATATAGTTTTACAGTAGTTATGTAGTAATGGGGTATATGCACACCTGCTGAAAAAAAAAGCTTAAACCAGCCTAGGCTGGTTTTAGCTGGTTTACCAGCCTGGTTTTAGAGGGGTTTTGGCCATTCCCAGGCTGGTTTCCAGCCATTTTCAGCCTGGTCATAGCTGGTCAGGCTGGAAAATGACCAGCTAAAACCAGCTTGACCAGCCTGGTTTAAGCTGGACATAGCTGATTTTGGCTGGGCTCCCAGCCTGGCTAGGCTGGTCAAGCTGGTTTTAGCTGGTCATCTCCCAGCCTGACAGCTAAGACCAGGCTGGAAATGGCTGGAAACTAGCCTGGAAATGGCCAAAACCCCTCTAAAACCAGGCTGGTCAACCAGCCAACCAGTCTAGGCTGGTTTAAGTAGTATTTCAGCATCTGACTTTCAATTTCTGTCAGCCAGCCCCAGTGCTTCCAGTCAACTGTCTTTCCATTATAAAATTGCCACGTTTAAGGTCTGATTTCTTTAAAAACTCAGTGATATTTACTCTCTGATAACTATACAATATAAAGTGGGTCTCAGACTGGACAGGAATTAAATTCTATTTCCCCCTGCCATCTCTTTAAAACTACGACCGTTCATTTTACTTCAGTATTTTCAATGGAGTTTCTGCGCTCGCCTGCTGATCCTGAGAGTGCTAGCGCTTACACAATCTTATTTTACGCTTGAACAACTAAATGAATGCTGAAGTCTATTTAACTGAATGTAGCCTAATGTAATTACATTACAATATTAATACTGTAAAATGAACCTCAAGAAATTAAAAATAGTCACATTAAGCTTTCACCGGACGTTTATCATTGGCTAGTAGCTCATAGTTTTAGAATGTGTCCTGATATTTCTTTATATTGAGCAAAAAAGTTACTATCATACTTTTTTCCACCATAATTTGTAGAAGATACACATTAAAAAGTAATTGAGTGTATTGTTAGGCATGGTCAGACATGTATAAAACAAGAATTATGATATTCAAGCATGACAAATCAGCCCCAAAAATGTCTAATACTTTTCCACTATTATTATTTAACGCATATTTTGACATTTTAATATCTAAATTTAATGTGTTTGGACTGTAAGAGAAACCGCAGCACCCAAAGGAAACCCACACCAACACGGGGAGAACATGCAAACTCCACTCAAAATGCCAAATGGCCCAGCCAGGAATCAAACCAGCGACCTTCTTGCTGTGAGGCCACAGTGCTAACCACTGAGCCAGCGTGTCGCCCATTCAATATAAGATCTATTTTTAAATAGAATTTGCTGCAAACCAAAATGTTACACATAAACACTGACAGCCAATCAGAATCCATCCAAGATGAAAGAATTCAAGCATAATGTCGCAATAATAATAACAATAACGATAAAAAAATCTACATAAATGTTAATATAGTCATGTGTTTTGGTTGTGAACGTGCATTAATGACCGAGGTTTAATTATTTCTATTGAGAAAAGCCCTGGGGTCTCATTTATACTGTAAAACTTTGCCTAGAAACCATCCTAAAAGTGAATGTACGCTGAAATTAATTGATTTATTAATGATTATAACTCATATGATGATTTAAAGTGGTTCATTTAAGTCAATATTTAAATTAAATATGTTTACTTAAGAGTTCACTTATACAGCTGTGTGCATTCTCCTGTCAAGTTTGTTTTAATAGATCACAACACTTGCGTTGGCTGTGACGTTCACACATTTCACGTTTATAAACGAGACCCTGATGAGTAGTAATGTCAATTAATAACAGCACAAAACAGAAAATGTATGTGTGTGTATGAAAGAACTGCTACACATCCAAAACTGTTTATTGTCCCTGTAAAACATGTCTGACAGACCGACCTACCGTAACAACTTAGAGAAGATGACAATAGCATCAAACCTAAACCTCATTGATAGTTCTCTCCGAAGGCCGATATTCTGCGCCTTTCTCAGACGCAAGGATAAAGGATTGAGTCTTGCGTTTCAATCGTGCACGTTTGTTGGCCAGAGACAGGCTGTGTTTGCTGGAGGCGATGATATCGGAGATGAACTTCTTGCAGTCAACACAAACCTCCATGGTGCTCCAGTCCTCCATCAGCTCTTTCGGGAGCTCCATCGACTCCTGAGACGAGGACGACTGCCGCGAGTGCTTAGATAATCTTAGAGAGACGGAGAAAGCAATAAGCTGAACAAAAAGCTGGAGTTTAAAGTGAATAAAACACTACTATTGTCTTTGAGTTTTGCAAACACTTTTCACAATTCAGATAAAAAATGACCCCTAAACCTTTAAAATAAAGCAGAACTATTTAATTTCGATGCTTAAATCTATATTGCATAAAGAAACAACAGATAATTTTAGAGAGATGGATAAAAAGCTTGGGTTTATAGTAGGGTTGGGTACCAAAATCTGGTGCCATTATAGCACAGGTACCATTTTAACCACTATGTACCTGATCGAATCAGCATATGAATTTCAGTGCCTAATCTTGATGCCACTGGTGCTGCGACAAGGACGTAAGAAGCATCAAGAGGTGCATCAAAGGCACATATTGGTAAGTGTTGTCACACCATCTCTAAACATTTATTTCTAAAAAGCTTTGAGGAATACGGACAGGCGATGTCAGGCATTTGTTCTTGTTGCTTAGGGAACGGACGATCTATGTACTATAACATGTAAGACGGGATCATGAAAGGAACATTCAAAAAGCAGCTCGTGTAAACACCTTAATCATATTGTCTTATTTACATTAAGGCAAATCATTAGATTACTAATAACCATGTAAATATAAGCCTCTTTTACACAGTGATACTGGTAAATATCTGGAAAATTTCCGGAACGACTTTACCGTTAAATTCAAAAAAGCGCTGTTCACACAGGCGAGGACGTTATGGAGTTTTCCTGGAAAAGAGCATTCACACATCCATCCCAAAATGCCGGTAAATTCTGACATCATTAAGCAGAAATGACCTCTAAACGGCTGCGCTTGTGTTTGTAAACATTTGACTACATTACAAACTCTTTGGATGGATCAGTATTGAGTACAACTCCAATGAAAACATATAGAGGAACACTTTCGCATGTCGAGATGTTCATGATATGTGTGTGTGCTGGCGCTATGGGCGCTCACGGGCACACGCAAAGCTTGAAGGTAAACAAACAACGGATTATCATAAACATTATCGATAATTATTTACACAGTTAGCATTAAGAAGGAACATAGAAACGTTACCGGACTAACATCTAGCAGCTAAAGGTGTCTGGAAAAATATTCAAAGGCTTTTATTCTCATAAACCGTCTCACGTCAGCACGTTCTAGACGTGTACGTGCTCTTTCTGGCAATCTTCCTTCTGCATTCACACAGCGCAGCATTCTGGCAAATTATCAGTAATGTTACAACTTCTCTTTCCGGAAAATAGCCTGAACGAATTTACCGGTATTTTCAAAAAGGGCCTGTTCACACATACAACCTTTCCGGAAAATTGCCGGTAATTATCCGGAAAGGTCTGTATGTGTGAAAGGGGCTATAGTCACAAGCCCCAACCCTAGAAGTAAAGGAGTTCAGTATTTTGATGACTTTTCGTAGGTTAGTAGTAAGCTAATGTAATTTCATAAGGCAAATCTTAAAGGTTAACTAAACCCTCGATTACTTTTTTTGAGATTTTAATAGAGCATCAGTTGAGACAATGTTAGCACCTGTTTGCTTTAATTGTGGGAAAAACTGGACAATTTTGAGCTTTTGTCAGCTCATTTCAGCTTCCGGGTTTTAAATGATTTTTGGGGCGGATCAAAATTGGCGATGTAGCGCAAAAGTACAAGTGCAAAGATGATGCATCGGTTTCTCATTATTATTCATAGCTGAGTTTTCTTATCCTATAAGAAGAGCCAGCTTCTTAATTATTCATGACTGCAGATGCTTTCCGAAGGCAAGGCAGACCTGCCAGTGCCAAGCTGTGAGACACGGACCCACGGCACACAGTATTTAGCTGTTCATGAAGGGTCGAATGTTTTGTTTCCATGATCCACGGGGTTTGTTGCATGTTTTTCCCTGCAATGCTGTCAGGGCCAATACAGCAAAGCTGTTTGTGTGCAGCAAGCATTTTTGTCGGGAGAGCAGTACGAGAATTGGAGAATGGCGGACTTTCTCTTTTATCAGGAGTTTGTTCACATTTAGACACATCGCCGTGCTGCTGTGTTTGCCTAAATCCTCCAGATTATCAGCAGGGCTAATGGTCAAAATAGACAGGGCAAGAGACCTGCTGCACTGAGTCTGCATTCAGACCCGGGGATTGAGGGAGAAGTCCTCATTTATAGTGTTTAAATGAACACGATTATCTTTATAATGATATAAATTGTGGTTATCTGTATATGAAATTACAAATAACAAATGTAACAGGACATTAAATGACTGTTTATTTCTTTGCATTTTAACTTAAATAAACTATAAAAATATGCGTCTCCTCAGGGTTTGTCTCATTTTGTGAGCTAACTGACAACAGACTGACGACTGACCCCTCCTTCTCCCTTGCTGGCCACGCCCACTTCTGCCCTTTGCTCGCGGAGCTCCACGCCCATTATAATGCATCTTTTGAAAAAATTCTGAGGTAGACCTGAACCGAAAGTGGGGAGTGTCATGACCCTTTTAATTCATGCTAATCAACAAATGATCAAAGGAAATATATTAATGTAATTTAAATATATTAAATATGAATTGATGTTTACTTTAAACTTTAATTTTATTGTTCTATTAAAATTATTTTTTAAAAGATTTTGTTTCAAGAGTTTCGCCCTTAGCTGATGATTGATTATGGATTATGTTTGTTCATGCTGTCCCGGGAGAGAGCCCTGAACTTGTGAGATCCTTGAGCCCGGGGCTCCAACCTGTTGCAGGGCGAGAGGGAAGTCCGAGTTCAGGTAGGTCTTGAGAACTCTCCCGCTTGATAATGTTGGAAGTAGATTATAATGCTATGAAGTCTCTATACTGTCAATTTACTTTTGTCACATGTTTTTGGTCTGGGAGGGAGGAAACCAGAGAGCCCGGTGAAAACCCACGCAAACATGAGGAGAACATGCAAACTCCGCACAGAAACGCCGACCTGGCCAGGTAGTGTCCGAGCCGGTGACATTCTTGCAGTGCGGCCGTGGTGCTAACCACTAGGCCTCCGTGCTGCCCTGACAAGGAAATGAGAGGAGCAGGGGTGTTAGGGGGGATTCTTCAAGAAGATGGCTGAAGTAAGATACTCTGGTTATTTATAGTGGTTAAGGAATCATCTGATTGGTAAATCAGTGTTAGCTAATGTGGACCAGGTGCTATCAATCATAAGCGCGTGCTCCTCTCGAAATTAGTTATAAAATAAACTTCACCAACTAAAAGATTATCTTAGAGTCATCCATTATAATTTTGTGGCTCAAAAGAATCGGTTCAGGCACCATTACCGTTTTAAAAGTATCGATTAAGCACCGGTATCGAAATAACCCCAAACGATACCCAACCCTAGTTTACAGTGAGTTTAACCCTCCTGTTGTCTTATAGTTCTCTTCACCCATGTAAAAAAGAAAATAATACTTAGAATTTCTAGGTAATTTACACTGGAAAAAAAAGCTTTTCTTTTTGTGCACGTTTGACGCAATAGTAATTCACCTCTGTTCATGTGTTTGCATTGAATGCACTGACTCTGCATACAAACAAATACCTTTTTAATCATTTTTAGGGGGCTTTTAACTTTTATTGGACAGGATATTATAGATTACAGACAGAAAAGCGTGGGAAGGAGAGAGAGGGGAATGATTGGCAAAGGACCTTGAGATGGGATTTGAACTCAGGTCACCGTGAGACCCTCAGTTCTATATGTGGGCACACTTTACCACAAGTTTATTGGCAATGACTACTTAAATAAATGTGTAAACCTAGTATAAAACAATTATCGCCGCTTGTTGATTCGGCATGTCCCTATCAGAACGTCACAGTGTGTTTTTATGCTTTCAAGAGTTCAGGTTTAGCTGATGATTGCTAGTAAAGCTTGTTTGGCATGCTGTCCCAGGAGAGAGCCCTGAGCTCATAAGATCGTCGAGCCCGGGGCTCCCTCCCATTTGCGAGATGAGAGGTGATTTTGAATTCAGGTAGATCTTGAGAACTCCCCTGCTGTAGTAGCTAATGAACAGATAGTGATTGCTCTTAAGAGATTACTACTTGCTAGGAGCATGTCTATAGTGACGAGTTGGATTAGTCAATTAAATTAAGTTGCATGTTTTTGGATGGTGGGAGGAAACTGGGGAACGCGGGGGAAACCCACATGAGCACGGGGAGAACATGTAAACTCTACACAGAAACGTTGATTGGCTTAGTAATGACCAGTGACGTTCTTGCTGTGAGGCAACAGTGCTAAGCACTGGGCCACCGTGCCACCCATCTAAGAAAGGAGGAGAAGTAGGGGTGGAAAGGGGAATTCTTCAAAACGAAGATGGCTGTGATATGGAACTTGAATTGGTTGATGCAGGACCAGCTGTGTTCAATCATAAGCACGTGATCCTCTCGAAATTAGTTTATAAATAAACTCCACAAAAAGTTTTGAAAATGCCTCCATTTTCATTTTGTTGTTACCAAAAATATGTTTTAAAGACAATAGAGAGAGTTTTAATTTTATTGCCATTTCAGCTTCTATGGCTATGTCATGGCAAAAAGAAAATAGATCAAGTTTATCACGTATATAAGTAATAATATATAAGATAAAAATCTACAACAGTTTTTTAAGGTTTCCTTTTGATAAAAATTGTACAATTTTAGATGGATTCACATTTAAAAAATATTTCCTTTAACCACTTAAATTCTGCTGCTATTTGGGGATTATTTCTTCTGTAAGCACATCAGGTGTGCGCTATTTTCATTATCCTCCTAAAGTCAAATGCTATTTTGGGATTTCCACCTGGATTTTGCCTACTCAAATTTAAAAGCTTCCCAAATCCACATGCAGAGGTGTAAAAGCAAAAATTTGGAATCATTTTAAAGAAAACCCTTTGAATGTTCACAAAACACTATTGAAAGTGTTTAAAATAACTGTATGTGTTGTCCGTGTTATAATAAACACCTAAAAAAAGAGGCGCTTTTTGTATTTTTTTTTTATAAACTCAAATGTGAAAGTGTACCTTTTAGGTTGTGTGTGGTCTAGCGTGCTGTAATTAATTTCGGTGGTTCCTACACATGTCTAATCATAGGAAAAAAGAAAAATGTCTCCACCATAATCTATGCAAAAGTTATTGTATTCCAACTGATGAGAGGTGCTGTACAAGCCACAGGGAGCGATCATTGTTTTCATATTTCACTATTCTTTTGTTTGATCAAACATAATTCACTGTGTTTGGAGCACGTCAGACATATAAAAGGATTACTTATGCACATCACCTCAAAAACAGAGGAGAATGGCCCTGAAGCGCACAGCATAAGGTGAGAGATGACAGCTGTCTGTGCTATCTGGGGCTGCTTATTGATCATAAATGTATTGTTTTCACTTCTGCGTCATGGAAACACCGCGATTCACTCGGCAACTGTTTGATATGTGAATATAATTCAGTAAAAACAATGCTAGAACTGTATGAGCACCGGCAAGAGCTTTCATTTGAGCTATAACTTGTACATGTGTCAAATGAAAAATATGAAAATGAACCAATGTAAAATACCCAGCTCGGGTATCTGAAATACTGTGTATTTAAGTGTAAATAACTTTTATACAGTAGAATAAAAACCAAAATGATGCATATGTGCATAAAATATAGATTCTACACTTTCAAACGAAAACACTTACGGGGGTCTGGTGCAACGCTAGCCCTTTAAATCTTAGAGCGAAAGTCGATGACGTCACAGAGTTTAAGTGGTTAAAGTCTCTCCAGATAAATATTGTTGTCTGATAACATTAAAAATGGGGCATTCCACGAGAATATGTTTAACAGTTTGGTTTTTATTGCAATAAAGACATTTTGGTTTAAAGACAATACCTAGATTTAATAATTTTCTTGCCGAAATGTTGCTCATTTTTCAAACTTATTAATAATAAGAAGAAGAACGATGCGTTTGTTATAGCTTTTGGTGACATTTTTCCTAATAATTGAAGCTTTGTTAAAATAATGTTTTAAATGTTGTGCTTTTGTGTTCTTCACTGCTATTTCAGAGTTGGGATGTTTTTTTTCCTATTTTTTCATTTAGAAAATGTTGTCATGTCAATTTGAAATATTTTATTAAAACCAAGGAAAAAACATTTCCATTTTTTGGCTACATCGTTGGCATGTAAATGTAGCCTAAGATCATTTAGGCGAGATATGAAGAAAAACCCTTAAACTAATAAATAAATATCAGTGTTGTAGTGATGAACTGTTGTAGTGATGTAGTGCAGGGGTATCGTACTTGGACATTGTGCGCTGAAGGCTGGGTCGATGGTGGCTGGTGCTTGGCTTCTCTGCCTTATGTGTGGCCGCGTCGCGCTTCAGTGTGGATGTGGACGGACCCAGAGAGTAGATGGGCAGACTAGCATAGGGTTTGGATGGCAGACGCATCTAAAGCATCAAGAAAATAGAAAAATTAGCTTCCTTCAGGTCTTGACTTCCTAAAGGACGATGCATGAAAATAAACGTAATGATAATCTTTGTGACCATATAAACAAATTCACGATGAGCCTGTCACAAGTAATGTAAAATAAAAAAAATTAAAGGCACAGTATGTAAGATTTTGTCATTAAAATATCTAAAAACTATTAGAACAGTTTATTAGGTACACTTTACTAGTACCAGGTTGGATCTACTTTTGCATTCAGAACTGCCTTAATCCTTCGTGGCATAGATTCAACAAGCTACTGGAAATATTCCTCAGAGATTTTGCTCCATATTGACATGATAGCATCACACAGTTGCTGCAGATTTGTCGGCTGCACATCCATGATGCCAATCTCCCGCTCCACCACATCCCAAAGCTGCTCTATTGGATTGAGTTCTGGTGACTGGGGAGGCCGTTTGAGTACAGTGAACTCATTGTCGAGTTCAAGAAACCAGTCTGAGATGATTCACGCTTTATGACATGGTGTGTTATCCTGCTGGAAGTAGCCATCAGAAGATGGAGACACTGTGCTCATAAAGGGATGGACATGGTCAGCAGCAATACTCAGGTAGGCTGTGGTGTTGACACCATGCTCAATTGGTACTAATGAGCGCAAAGTGTGCCAAGAAAATATCCCCCACACCATTACACCACCACCACCAGCCTGAGCTGTTGATAAAAGGCAGGATGGATCCATGCTTTCATGTTGTTGATGCCAAATTCTGACCCGACCATCTGAATGTGTCAGTAGAAATGGAGACTCATCAGAGCAGGCAACGCTTCTCCAATCTTCTATTGTCCAGTTTTGGTGAGTCTGTGTGAATTGTAGCCTCAGTTTCCTGTTCTTAGCTGACAGGAGCGGCACCCAGTGTGGTCTTCTGCTGCTGTAGCCCATCCGCCTCAAGGTTGGACGTGTTGTGTGTTCAGAGATGCTCTTCTGCAGAGCTCGGTTGTAACGAGTGCTTATTTGAGTTACTGTTGCCTTTCTATCAGCTGGAACTAGTCTGGCCATTCTCCTCTGACCTCTGGCATCAACAAGGCATTTGCGCCCACAGAACTGCCGCTCACTGGATATTTCCTCTTTGTCAGAACATTCTCTGTAAACCCTAAAGATGGTTGTGCATGAAAATCCTAGTAGATCAGCAGTTTCTGAAATACTCAGAGCAGCCCGTCTGGCACCAACAACCATGCCACGTTCAAAGTCACTTAAATCCCCTTTCTTCTTCATTCTGATGCTCGGTAACTGCTACCTGCAGCAGATCGTCTTGGCCATGTCTACATGTCTAAATGCATTGAGTTGCTGCCATGTGATTGGCTAATTAGAAATTTGCGTTAGCAAGCAGTTGGACAAGTGTACCTAATAAAGTGGCCGGTGAGTGTATATTTATACATATTGCTTACTTATTTACTTGCATTATCCCAAATGTTTCAAAGAATGTTCAAATCTAGACAAATAATCAAAATAAAGATTTACATATTGTGCCTTCAATTAGGACGCGTACATGAACAATCTGTACAGACCGTGACTTACTTTTTTACAGCACTGTGAACACACTGGCCTGCAAAAATACAGGAAAGGATGAGTCTTCTGTCTTGCTTTCTATATAAATCTACAAAAATGCATTGAATACAAAGCTGAATGATAGGTTATTTATTACCTTTTACAAAACTGACAGGTGTAGGACCAGGTAAAGAGGGAAAAACGCTTTGTTCGACAGCAGAAGCACAACTGTAAATACAGAAATATCAAAGAATAAATGCAATTATTGAGAGTCATACTTAATATTCACAATACAGGGTGGGCCATTTATAGGGATACACCTTAATAAAATGGGAATGGTTGGTGATAGTAACGTCCTGTTTGTGGCACATTAGTATATGTGAGGGGGTAAACTTTCAAGATAGGTGGTGACCATTGTGGCCATTTTGAAGTCGGCCATCTTGGATCCAACTTTTGTTTTTTCAAAAGGAAGCGGGTCATGTGACACATCAAACTTATTGGGAATTTCACAAGAAAAACAATGATGTGCTTGGTTTTAATGTAAAATACTTTATTCTTTAATGAGTTATTTACAAGTTTCTGACCAATTATAAAATGTGTTCAGTGTGCTGCCCACCCTGCTGAAAAATCCAGCTTAAACCAGCCTAGGCTGGTTGGCTGGTTTTAGCTGGTCGACCAGGCTGGTTTTAGAGGGGTTTTGGCCATTTCCATGCTGTTTTCCAGCCATTTATAGCCTGGTTTTAGCTGGTCTGGCTGGAAAATGACCAGCTAAATCCAGCTAAAACCAGCTTGACCAGCCTGGTATAAGCTAGACATAGCTGGTTTTGGCTGGACTTCCAGCTTGGCTAGGCTGGTCAAGCTGGTTTTAGCTGGTCATCTCCCAGCCTGACCAGCTAAGACCAGGCTGGAAATGGCTGGAAACCAGCCTGGAAGTGGCCAAAACCCCTCTAAAACCAGCCTGGTCGACCAGCAAAAACCAGCCAACCAGCCTAGGCTGGTTTAAGCTGGATTTTTCAGTAGGGCATTGTGTTGGATTGTCAATGCAGCCCTCTTCTCCCACTCTTCAAACACTGATAGCAACACCGCAAGAGAAACGCCAGGACAGGCTTCCAGTATCTGTTGTTTGAGGTGCTGCACATCTTGTATCTTCACACCATAGACAACACAGATAGTGGGGCCGCTCTTCATCAAGGGAAACCTCAAGGCCACTGGATATTCGACATTGCTCCATGATGATGTGTTTCCCTCTTTATGCACTGAAGTGGGCACGTTCCCTCAGTTTTTCCAGCAAGATGGTGCACCACCACATTATGGGTGTCAGATCCGAGCATTCCTAGATGAACAGTTTCCTGAAAAATGGATTGGTCGGCGTGGGTCAGTTGATTGGCCCCCAAGGTCTCCTGATCTGACCTCCTTAGAATTTTATCTTTGGGGTCATCTGAAGGCAATTGTCTATGGTGTAAAGATTTAAGATGTGCAGCACCTGAAACTACGGATACTGGAAGCCTGTGCTGGCATTTCTCCTGCGGTGTTGCTATCAGTGTGTGAAGAGCGGGAGAAGAGGGCTGCATTGACAATCCAACACAATGTGCAGCACATTGAACACATTTTATAATTGGTCAGAAACTTGTAAATAACTCATGAAAGAATAAAGTTAGGTTAAAACCAAGCACATCATTGTTTTTCTTGTGAAATTCCTAATAAGTTTGATGTGTCACATGACCCTCTTCCTATTAAAAAAACAAAAGTTGGATCCAAGATGGCCGACTTCAAAATGGCCACAATGGTCACCACCTATCTTGAAAGTTTACCCCCCTCACATATACTAATGTGCCACAAACAGGACGTTAATATCCCCAACCATTCCCATTTTATTAAGGTGTATCCCTATAAATGGCCCACCCTGTATATTTTCAATGACTTGCTGGGAAAATAAAAATAAGCAATGCTGTATTTAAAATAGTTTGCATTAAAGGGACAGTTCACCTAAAAAATGAAGGTTTGTCATCATTTAAATCACACTCAAATAGTTCTAAACTTCTGAATTTCTTCTTTCTGTTGAACACAAAACATGAAAATTTAAAGGATATTGAAAAAAGCAGCCATTGGCATCTATAGTAAAAACAGAAACTCCTGCTGTATAATAGTCAATTGCTGCTTTTTCCAGCATCTTTTGGTTCTTTGGTTTTGTGTTTAACTTTGGAACAAGTGGTGGATGAGAAAATGATGACCGCATTTTCATTTTTGGGTGAATTTTAAGAAAAGAGAGAGAGCATGAATTGAGCCGTGTTAATTTAGTGGTTCATTAGAATATATATCTCTTTTGTTGACATGCTGCTTTCTCTGAATGGTTGCTCCAGATTAGTTCCCACCTTCCCCTTTTTCAGGGCGTTGTAGATGTCTTTGTACTGCTGAAACTTCTCCAGTTCGGCTTTGACCAAAACCTGTCGAATGTGCATCACTTCCTCCACCGTCAGAGCCAGACACTCCACCGGGAAGCAAAACTCCTCCTGTCCAAATGCATTAGGATGTAGTCTGAGCAGGGTGCGAACTATGACGTTTTAGAGGGTCTCAAAAATATTGACAATGTGTTATCTTGACATACAACATTACAAAAAACATGGGCTTCCCAATTTCCATGGTATAATTTGAAGACTGGTTTTGAAAAGACATCGCAACAGACGAAACTACAGCAGTGACAGAGTAGCCCATGCCACATATCCAGGCTTTTCCAGAAAATTACCAGTAATTATCCTAGGCGTTTAGCTGTATCTGCTCATTTTGCTGAAGTAAAACTGCTATTTTAATATGTGAATTGGAATGCAGTAAACTATCAGCGCTTCTCTTTACTTACTAGTGACTTTGAGCTGTGTCTGGAGGGAGGCAGGAACTGGCGTACACTGGTCGGGGTCTCCTTCTCTATGGAGTGACGGCGCTGCGCAGGCTGACGTCTCTCCGGTTGTGGAGTGGATGATATGGGCAGGAACATCGGCGGAGCTGAGAGAAACACAACACACACTCATCATGCATCAGTTTTATCTTTAACAGTAATTGTGGGCATGGGTATTTGCATTAAAGCAGGGGTGTCAAACTCCTGGAGGGCAGCAGTCCTGCACAGTTTAGTTCCATCTCTGGTTTAACACACTTACCATGGGTTTCAAACAATCCTAAAGATCTCAGCGAGTTTGATCAGGTGTGTTTAATTAGGTTTGGAACTAAACTAAGCTGAGGCCTTCAAGGAACTAAGTTTGACACCTGTGCATTAAAGGGATAGTTCACCCAAAAATCTAAACATATTTCATTGTCAGCATTTTAAAATGAAAAATGAGGCAAATAAATTCTCATTAACACACTGTACATTTAAAATCCCCTTATTTAGGAGAGAAAGGTCTGAATTTAGCCCCGGTCCTGCAAAAACTCCACCATTCTCTTCTACTAAAGTCAGATTTGGTTGTTTATAAGTATTCTCCTTACTGATAGGATGTGCTAATGCGAGACCAGATGTGTCAATCACACGCATTTGCTTCTCATTCATTCATTCATTCATTCATTTTATTTTCAGCTTAGTCCGGTTATTAATCAGGGGTCGCCACAGCAGAATGACCCACCAACTTATCCAGCATATGTTTGACACAGCGGATGCCCTTCCAGCTGCAACCCATCACTGGGAAACACCCATACACACATTCACAGACACACACTCATATATTACAGAAAATTTTGCGTACCCACTTCACCTATAGCAGTTTGCACCTATAGTGTTTGTACTTGTGGGGTAAACCGGAGCACCCGGAGGAAACCCACACCAACACGGGGAGAACATGCAAACTCCACACAGAAATGACAACTGATGTTTCACAATGTATAAATAAAACATTAAAAAAGAAAAAAAAGAAAAAAAAAGAAATGACAACTGACCTAGCCTAGACTCGAACCAGCGACCTTCTTGCTGTGAGGTGACAGTGCTACCCGATGCACCACCTTTCTCTCTAATTATATATATATATATATAAATAAATAAATGTAACAAAGGGTCTGACACAAAGGGATCTATTTGCAGTATATTTATTAAATAGAGTTTAATAATAAGCACACAGATGGTACTTGTGTGCGAACTCGCATAAAACACAGTTGTCTCAAGTCGAAGGGCTGGCGGTAGGCAAACACAGGGTGAGTAAGCAGACATGGGTCAAATGCTTGCAGCAGGATCAGAGTCGGTTTTCAGGTTAGGTTCAAGGCAGGCGGCAGGCAAGACAAGGTCGATATACAGTCCGGGTTAGCAACGGGGAAACCAGGCAAGAGTAAGGACCGCTCAGTAGTGTTTGCTTGGGCAGAACAAGACTTCACACTGAGGTGGGTGTGTGCTGCTTATATGTGTGAGCGTGGCAATCAGGAGATGTGCTGCAGGTGTGTGTGGCAATCAGTCTTTGGGAATGACGTAATGTCAGAAGTCCGGTGATGATGACCTCTGCTGGCCAGAGAGGGGAATAACTGGGACTCAGTCGGTGACAATATATATATTTATTTCAAATATATATTTTTTATTGGATGTTTTTAGTGCAAAACCATGTCAGAAATTTACATTAGGTAATAAGATAATATACACCATTTAATTTGAGTCCTGATCGCCACATGAAAAATTATAACAAAAATAAAAATAACAAAAACTATTAAATTGTGATTAAATAAACAACAACAAAAAAACAAATAAATAAATAAATAATAAAAAATAAAATAATAATAAGGACATAAAATAATTGTTTTGAGTTTATCAGACAAGGTTTTAGTCTTAGAGACTTAGAGGTTCACAGATAATCAAAGGTTAAGTCACAGGTCTGATAATATCTGCTCTCGAAATTTGTTTAGGAACATCACATCAAAGTGTGCACCAAGAAGGACTCACTTTTCTTGCCCAAGACAGACTCTGGCGACGTGTCGTCCACCATGGTTGTAGAGATGCTGGAGCAGCTGGCGGACCTGTGGCCTACAGTCTCATCCTGAGAAAAACAGCACATTACTGGACCATAATGCTGGCTAAACAAACTCTGGATTACAGGATTAGTTTCAGAGTTGACAAAACCAAACCAGTGCAATACGGCCTATTTGTTACCATGAAGACTTTCTGTTAACACAGACTTTTATCCTGAGTTTATGAGGATGTACAGATGGAGGCAGGACATGAATAGCCAGCACGTTATGATTTTGCCAAGTACGATGCAATGATCCTGAATTAACATCTATGTTGATCCTGAAACATTAAGATGTAATCCATACCCATTCACAACCCCTAACCCCAACCATAACTGTAAATGATAACCCAAAATCAGAGGGGAATAATAGTTGAGTAACACTCATGTAGAAGTGCATAAACCTAACCGTAAGCCTAAACTCAACATAAATGTTAAACACATCCCTTAATTCTGATTGGCTGATTGGAATGTTGTTCCAGGATAAACACAGATGTTTATCCAGGAACAAGTCCGACTTGCTTAAATCAGGCAACCAGCCAATCAGATGCATCAAAACTATGTGCAACGGATACTTTTCTTAAATTAATTTTACAAGCACTCAATAAGGTAAACAGTGTTCACTTATGAATGTATCATAAATCATGTTGCACTCCTTACTTTTTCAACCTTAAATACTTCTTTTGCACAATTTCATGCACAATATTGTTTCTGTTAGAAGTACTTGTAGAGTCCAACCTGGGTGTTTAGTTCACTTTGTATTAGGGATGGAGAGTCGACTGCAAAACAGTTGATTCCTCGACTCTTAATGGACCAAGTACTGGAATCGACTCCAGGACAGGAATCGACTCCCAAAGTGGAGTCAGATTTTTCAAACCCTCCTGAATGAAGCAATTACATTCTACAGTTATAATGCTCATTCTCGAGCATGATGAACATCGAAGTTGCCCGCTTTTGTGTGCATGTTTACATGTTTTATGCTTTTGCTACTGAATTTCACGACCAAAGGCATTCTAAGCCTAGGCCATTATAAATAGTGCTGCTGGATGAAGCTCGCTTTCACTTTAAAATTCATATAAGGCATGTAGACCTTTTGCATTTTGGTTTTAAAGCATTTTGGTTTAGATTTGACTGCGATGTCAGACTTGCTGTGTTATAAATGAAATATAACTTATATATGTATATGTGTGTGAATTTGGAGTGGATACTATTGGCAGATCGACGTCTTAAATGAACTGCAGGTAAAATTACAATGTTATGTTAAGCAATTGGCTGCTGCTATATGCTCAAGTAAATTATTTATTTAACCTCTGCCTATTTCTCAAATAAATAAATAAATAAATAAATAAAGCACTAATCATAATGACAAAAGTAGCCAAGATTTATTTATTGTCACAAAATCTGACAATACATGTGGTCGTGGTTTTGTTTTGGCCCTGAACGTGTAACAGAGGCCAGCTAGTAAGTGCTGTGCAGGTAAACCTCATTTTTCTGACCTCTAATACTGTGTTCACACCAGACGCGGAGCGCGCGGATAAATCGCGCTATTTGTGCGTAAATTGCTGCGTGAACATTTGAGTTTACTCGCTTCATTCGCGCGTCAAATTCACTTCGGAACAGACGCGGACGCTACAGATCCAGTAATGCGGAAATGGAGTGTGCTGCTAGTAGCGGAGATGAAAAAAAGATGGAAATGATCGAACCTAAAGCGGGTGTTGTCGCCGCGCACGTACTGAATAGCGGTGTTGTCGCGCGCGTATTGTAAAGCGCCGTGGGGGGGTTGAGCGCGCATACTCGAGCGGTGTTGTACTGAAGGGCTGGACGGAGGTTGTGTTGCGTCGCGGGGGCACTTTTGATCATTTTGGAAGGGCATTTTCTATCCAAGACTAAAAAGGGCATGTACACTGCACAGGTTGAGCCCTATGTGTGCACGTGCCTTCAAGTTGGGGAATACGACTAATAGCAGTCATGGGGACTGCAGAAACACAGCACACTGCTCAGATTGATGCAGACATTGACTTGTACCGCAAAGAGACCTCTATCTCACTCATGGTTTGTCCTCTCAAGTGGGGGAAAGACAATGCACAACGTTACCCACTGCTGTCAACCTGGGCCAAGTCATATCTCTCTTGTCCCAGAAACCTCAGTCCCAAATGAGAGGGTTTTTTTCTGTTGCAGGGGACATTGTAAATGCCCAGAGATACCAGCTTTTACCAGATTATATTTATATGATAATTTCCCTTTAAACCCATCTCTATCTAAGTGAGTGAGTGATTAAATGTTGAATGTGATGAGTTTTCAACAAAACTAAATTGAAACTTTATTTTTTTACATGGTTTAATATTTTTTGTTATTAAAATTGAAGTTAGTGTTTCAAAGCTTACAGATAGATGACTAATTTGTATGTCATTGACACTTTTGGCACTTTTTTGGAGTTTTTTTATAAGTTTTGTTTTTCCTGTAAATGATTCAATAAATACCGTACCGTGACATTCATACCGAGGTATTACCGTACCATGAAATTCTGATACTGTTACATCCCTAGTAGATACGTTTAGGGCCGTGTCTGAGTCCACTACATTCTTTCAGAGGTGCATCCAGCTCTGTGAGCTCATAAACTCCTCCAGAAACTTAACCTGGCTGACGGAGGCTTTCAGCGGTGCTTCTGACTGAGCCCAGCTCAATTTGATGAACTTCTTGTCGGTATCGGCTGGAGATTTTTCCTGGGACACCCACAACAGGCGATACGTCACAATCATGCCCCTACAAGAGCAAACTCCTTATTCGTTATCGCGGCACGAACGTCCACTGATGTTCAGATTTTTGAACTCGAGCGATTCGCGCAATTCGCGCGCATCGAGCCATAGGATGTCTATTTGCACATTTGCATCGACTGGTATAAACGCAGCATAAAAGGTGCTCTAGCGACAGACACTAGTGTCCATGGTCTTTAGCCTCCTTGGTAGAGCACCCGACTCCCATGCGGAAGGTCGCCAGTTCGATACCAGCTCAGAGCGGGTTGGGTGGCGTAGGACCAATTCATTCTTCTCGTTTATTTTGTAAATTATTGATCGGTTGGAGTTTTAAAAAAAAAAGAAGAAGAAAGAAATTAAAAACGGCAGATTTGGGTCGTGCCTTGTGTGACCGTCTGCTGTACCAAATTATTTCACTCACTTGGTGTAGTATTCAAGTGTCAAACATTTATATTAAGAAGATATTTAGACTATTATATATTTTAAACGTTGTTTCGGGCTAAGTTGAGGTGTTTTTTTTATCTTTGTTAATGAACTGCTGTACATCTCTTCATTAAAGAAGATGCAAAAGATTGCTCCAAGATTGCAAAGTAATTTTTCAAATTATCTAAACTAGACAATTAAATATGCTTTAAAAAAAGTGTAGGTTGATAACTAGCAGATGATTTACTGCTGGCTTTGTCTGACCAGAGGAAAAACTGCAATTGACACAGTAGCATTGTGTAAGGCGCGATATGATACAGCATGTTTAATTCTTGCGCTATTTTAAGTGAATGTAAATGGAGTCGGTGACTCCAAAATTAGGAATAGAGAATCGGAGTCGACTCCGAAAAACCCGAAACCGAACACCCCTACTTTGTATACTGCTCAAGAATGTTAGTTACAAGGCGTAAAATAAAATTCAATATTCTGTTTTAGTTGCGAGTACATTAACATACTTAAATAAAAGTCTCAGCAACTTCTGATTCATGCAGACTTAAAGTGATTCAAAGTAGAACCTTTCATAGCTAAAACCCAGCGTTGGTGCAAACTGAACTGAAAAATGAACTAGAAAGCCATAGTAAAGCTGTGGCATGCATTTGGGCAAGAAAAACTGCATGACAATCCTCACGTCTGAATCAGAGCTGTCCATTTCAGCCAGAGTCGGGGCTTGAAGTCTTTTCCTCTGAAAGCCGGAGCTGTTCTGCTGGAAAGACGAAGCGTTGGCCAATGACAGTGTGCTGGAGGCCTTCCTCGCCCCGTCAGATGAAGACACGTCTGCAGGACAAGAAAACAAACACAGAGAGGATTATGCATGAAAGGAATTGAGCTCAAAATGAATTATGATTACCCGAGTATTCAGTTTTTTTCTGACTGCTTTAAACAGCAGTCAGGCATTACAAAGAGTGTTATTTTATTATATTATGTATTTTACTGGAAATTACATTAATAAGGCGATATACAAGAGGCATCATTGTGGAAAAAAATATATTTCACAGCATTTATTTTCATTTCAACAAAAAAATTAAGTCAGAATTTTCCAAAAGCCTGAAAAATTCCAGAAATGACTGTGTATACAGTATAAATATATCGCCAACCTGATTTCAGCCAGTCGGACTTGTTCCTGGATGAACATCTATGTTGATCCTGGAACAACATTCCAATCAGCCAATCAGAATAAAGGGATGTGTTTACCGTTTATGTTGAGTTTAGGCTTACGGTTAGGTTTATACACTTCTACATGAGTGTTATCCTACTAGTATTCTATACTATTATTCTTTTATTATTCTTTTTTAAATCATTCTTTTGGGAATAATTTACAGATATGGTCGGGTTTAGGAGTAGAAAATAGGTATGGATTACATTTTTGAACAAAAGTAATGTTCCAGGATCAACATAGATGTTAATCCACGATCACTGCATCGTACTTGGCAAAATCATATATATATATATATATATATATATATACTACCAGACTAAAGTTTGGAAACACTATGATTTTTTAATGTCTTAAGAGTAGCCAATTCCTATCACAAAGACTGAATTATTTGATGAAAAGGAATAAAAAATGGTAAACTGAGAAATATTATAAGTTTAAGTAGATTTCTAGGTTTGTCTTGCAGGTATATGAAATGTGAAATGAAAAAAAATAAAAATAAAAATAAATAAATAAATGACTCTGCTTTTTACAACATTATGTCATAAAGCAGATAAAATAGAAGAGTCATATAATAAATACTTAAAGAAATAAATAAATAAATAATGTAAAAAAAATTTAATAAAAAAAAAATCCACCTTCTGCCACTTTTACAAATGATCAACTATAAGTCAACTTATTATTTGTTGCTCTTACAACTGGGATCCACGACAAGACTTCTGTCAGGTAGTCTATATACTGTTTTATGGTTTTAGTTAACTATACTAATCTTGATAACAAATAATCTTATTCATTTGTTTTTAGTTTCTTTTTTGCATATATTTGCATTTCTATTTCACAATAAAACACTGAAAACAAATGTAAGGCTTTACCTTGAAACTGTTTTCACTCAGAGATTGTTATTCAATTTCCAAAGTAATTACAAATGCTATTGTTTATGCATTGCATCATCTTATTTACAACTTTGAAAAAAAATTGTCATCACTTAAACAAAAACACCTTAAAATAAAACCAAAAAACTTGTAGATTTGACCTAAAATCCCACACATCCATGAGCTCAGTGTAATCAGCACACTCTGCTAGTGTTTGACATTTGTCCTTGTACATGATGTTGACAGTGTTACTCAGCATTAGCGGTTAGTCACAAGTGTCAGAAACACAACAAACACAAAACATCACCAAACATGATGGCACAGTGAATGAAGGTGACGTAAACGATAACATATCAAGCACATTTTTACTGCGGTGTCTGAGCTTAATTGTGAAAAATCTCTCAAGAGTTAGTCTATTTAATATATTTAATTTAATTTGTATTTATTTGTTAACATATGCAAGTAGTGACTGATAAATCATAAGAAAATCACCAAGACTTACAAATAAACTATATTTTATTATTGTCTTTTAATAAAATGTATCAATTTATAGAAATATTACGAAGTAAAAATGACAAATACTGTAAACAGTGGTTAGGGTAAGGAAAGGTTTAGTTACCTTAAACTAAACTTTTAGTAAAACAGGTTGTCTGGTTTCTAAATGTCGTTTTAATCTAGAAGGTGTCATGCTCTCTTGTGAGAGCACCTCGCTACTTATGACACACTGAGGCTTTAAGTCTTTTTTGTCGACATATCTGTTGCTATAACTAAAATAAGTTTCACGTGTCAAACGATAGGGTTGTCGTGCACGCATTTCAAAATAAAAGTCAGTAAAAAATAGATAAATAGATAAAAATCAGTAAAAAATTTAACTTTTGTTGTTTTTTATTTGACCACACACTCCACGACCTACTGAAAATGTTCCTATGACCCACTTTTGGGTTGCGACCCAGCAGTTGAGAAACTCTGCTCTAAAGAACATCAAAATCTTCTGTCACATGATGTGACCAACAGTCCTCATTTTCAGGGATTCTGCAAGTTTTACTAAGTCAATTTTAAAGGGACAGTTCACCCAAAGCAGTAAATCATGTCATCATTTGTTTACCTTGTCACAAACATCTTTGAGTTTCTTTTCTTCTGTTAAACACGACTAAAGTTTTTTATTTATTTTTTATAGCGTATTATTTTATTATTATTTATTTATTTATTTTTATTTTTGTATTGTAACATTTTAACAATACAAAAAGAAATATATATACAAATATACATGCCAGGGGGTAAGCATAAATCAAATACAAATATACATATGTAAAAATCAAATAAATATATTGTAGAGTTCACAAAGTTTTAAAGTGTGTAGGGCTTTCTTATTTAGAGTCTCTGATACTACTAATATATAAGCATAATTCAGTCATCAACATCTTGAAGTTGGGTTTCTTGTTGGTAAATTTACATTTGTGAATGTAAAATTTTGTTTGCAAAATAATTAAATTAATTAAATAAAAACAATTTTCCTCTTGAATAGGGTCCATAAAAATGCCAAAAAGTACATTTTCCCACTACAATGATAGAGGTTTAGAACACTGTAATTTGTTATTAATAAATTTTTGCACCACACTCCATAGTTGACTGAGTATGCGCAATGCCAAAATAAGTATAACACAGTCGACTCATATTCATTACAAAAAATACATTTTATATTAATCCCATTTTTACATTTTTGTAAATAATGTTTTGCTGGATAAAATATGAAGATTTTAAGAAACAGAAGATTATTGAGATATTTCTTTAATTTTATTTCTAACATGGTATTTCTGTGGTAACAGCCACACTTTTTTTCCAGCAAATCAGTTGATCCTTTAATAAAGACATCCAATAAGATTGAATATAAGGTAGAGTAATAAATTCTCTTTGGAAAAGGGTATGGATAGCTTTATTATTCCTCTTGGTATATATATTAAAACAGGTTTTGCCCACATATGATTTAGTGACATCAAAAGACGATGCATCAAAAGCATGGACTTGATTAATTTCTCTAAATAACATATGGACCCCTGAAGGAATTGAATTAATAACAGTTGAAAATTCTTGTTGGGTAATTGAAATTTTGTAATAAAAGAGGAATTCATCGTAAGAAAAGAGTACACCTTCTTTATTATATAATTGACTAACTAGATTAATTTTGTTTTCAAACCAATTATTTAAAAAAAGAGATTTGCGCTTGGATAAAATGTCTCTATTATTCCAAATGAAATAGCGATGTGGGGAGAAATTATGCTTATATATTAATGAAATATATATATTTTTTTTATAGCGTATTGCATGTGTCTTTCTCTTTGTCCCGCCTTCTTGTTGTTTTTTGTTATCCCATAGGCTTCTATACCAGCATGTATAAAAAGGAGCTTCTGGCAGGGTTTGAGGAACTCATTTGTGCTGCGATGGTTGCTGGGAGTGGAGCTCCTGGATTTCCCTTACCCCTCCTGCCGACGACCAACATTCAAACTTGTTACCATTGAATACGTTCAACTTCTTTTGAGAGTTTGAGTTTGTAGGGGTGGCCTGCCTATCTATTTGATTTCTTTTGACTATGTTTATGTTTAGGGAGGAAGGTAAGCTTCCTGTATTTTTCTTTAAATATTTTTCTTTAAATATTAAATATTACTTAATGCATTTACTAACATGAACTAATCACGAACAACACATGTACAGCATTTATTAATCATAATTGAACATTTACTAATGCATTAATAACATCCAAGTCCATGCTTCTTAACCTTATTTAATGCACCATGAGTTAACATGAACTAACAATGAACTACTGTATTTTCATTAACTAACGTTAACTAACATGAACAGATACTGTAGTAAATGTATTGTTCATTGTTTGTTCATGTTAGTAAAAGCATTAATTAACATTAACTAATAAACCTTATTGTAAAGTGTGACCAAATATTTATAGATAGTTTAGTTCATTTACTTTGCAGATTATTTAGTTTGTTATTTTGGCCTGTGGCCACCCTGAATAGATGCTCATTAAAATTACTACTTTTTTTAATAATAAATCTATTCAATTACTCTCAACTGAGTGTCCGAGTTTGGTTTTCGACCGAAGGGGATCTTTTGCATTAAGTTTTTGTTTAGTTTGTGAAATCCAACACCCCAACAAATTTGTTTTTTCGTTTATTATGCCCATGCTGTTTTCCCCCTAGACTTGAGGCGTAATAAACACAAAAGCAGATATTTTGAAAAATGTTGGAAACCAGTGTTTTGGAAGTCAATGGTTACCGGCGTCGAACATTCTTCAAAATATCTTCTTTTGTGTTCAACAGAAAAGTAGTAGTGAGCAAATTTGAAAGTAAAGTTTAGGGTAAAAATTTTGGGGTGAACTATCGCTTTATGAATGTTTAAGTCCATCAGGAACATTTTAAATGAAATTTAAGACCTACAGTTGAAGTCAGAATTATTCGCTCCCCTGTTTATCTTTTCCTCCAACTTCTGTTTAATAGAGAGCAGATTTTTTTCAACACATTTCTAAACATAATAGTGTTAATAACTCATTTCTAATAACTGATTTATTTTATCTTTGCCATGATGACAGTAAATAATATTAGACTAGATATTCTTCAAGACACTTCTATACAGCTTAAAGTGACATTTAAAGGCTTAACTAGGTTAATTAGGTTAACTAGGCAGGTTAGGGTAATAAGGCAAGTTATTGTATAAGGATGGTTTGTTCTGTAGACAATAGGAAAAAAATAGCTTAAAGGGGCTAATAATTGTCCCTAAAATGGTGTTTAAAAATTTAAAACTGCTTTTATTCTAGCCAAAATAAAACAAAAAAGTTGACGTTGGATTTTGACCCAGTTTCATTGATTTAAGGTTTACCTATTGGACACATTTTTTCATCAGCTAATAAGAAATCGTATAATATATTAACCTTTGCCGCCAGAAAAAATATTTTACTTAATTGGGTTAGTGATAAATCTCCATCACTTAAAGGTTGGCACAATACAATTTTTGAGTTAATTCCTCTGGAACATCTTACCCATGTTTTACACAAAATAATAATATTTTTTAAGTTTGGACTCTATATTTTGATTATTTGGAACCTGGTCTTTGCCCTATCATGCTGAAAGGAATATTGTAACTGTATTGTTATCTGAAAAACATGTTATTATCCTTTTTTTCTGATCTGTTTAATGTGGGGTAGTGCTCTTTTATATGTAATCTGAGCTGTGTTTGGTGTGGTAATTTTCTTTGTGTATCTTTTGAAGATGTTTTGCTTTGTCTGTATTGTTAAAATCCTATAAAGATAATTATATGGAAAAAAAATCAAAAGACAAAAAACAAATAAGACTTTCTCTAGAAGAAAAAAAATATTATCAGACATACTGTGAAAATTTCCTTGCTCTGTTAAACATCCTTTGGGAAATATATAAAAAAGAATAAAATAAAAAAATAAAAAAAAAAAGGGGGGGGGGGTGCAATAATTCTGCCTTCAACTGTATATCACAACATCTGTCACAACTGTACTGTAACACAGCTTATAGTAATTTGACTGCATGGCGAAATAAAGAACAACTCCACTGAATATAAATAAAATAATAAATCAGCAAATAAATAAATAAAGAAACAAACAAATAAATCTATATTCTAAAGAGTTTTGGAGCATTTCAACGAGTACTAATCCTAAATGATTCATTGATGAGCATGTCATGTCCTGGTTTGATAATGATACATTTGCATAACAGACACAAAGTTTGCTTGTAATATATAGTTTAGGCTAAATAAATCATCCTCAATTACAAAATGAGCCTATAAAAGCAGAAATAATAATGTTTTTCTAAAGGTAGAGGTCTATATTTAGTACACTTGTTAATTAAATGAAAATGTTTATGTGCTATTGTCATTATCATAATCATTATAATTATATTCAGTTTATTATGTTACTTCCATTGTTGATTAAAGTTACTTTTAAAAGTACTATTTTACAATCTTAAGAAACTAAATGTGTTTCTTAGTAACTTTTTAAGCAAAGGTGAGCAATGTATTTTTATTTTTTAAGATTAGGATAGGCTTAAAATTGTAATATATTACTTTTAGAAGTAACTTTGTCCAACACTGGTTACTTCCATATATATTTGTTCTAATGGCACAGTTAATCTCATTACTGGGTATTATACAATGCTTTGATCCCTTCGTAGTTTGTACTACTTAAAGAAAACAATTCTACGGGTGCCCTAAAAATGTAACCACGATAGATTTGCTCATATATTTATATGCAAAATTACAGACTAAAACCTGGTAAAATTATTAAAGAATCAAAACATATTATGTAATGTTTCTAATGCAATCCTCAAGACGTTTAAAAGCCTAAAATTGTGATTTTTAGTTTTTTTTTAATCTAACCTACACCAAACCTGCACAGAATCCTTGATTTTGCTTTAATATTTTCTCAATTTGTAATAGATTAGACCACTGTTAATGTGACTAAAGTTTCCAAACACCATTTAGAGCTGTTGTACATTAGAAAGTCAGGTGGTATTACCATTTCAACAGCATCACAGTACCGTGATGCCGCTATTTAACTGTAAAATGCATTTGCAATTGAAGAAAACAGACTTTCTTCTGTCTGTGGATCCTGAACACTCCATTTATCCTCAGATTGAATTCTGCACACTCATCCTCCCTGAAAAAACCCTTCACAGCGACTCATTCTGTAAAAACCTGCTCTCAGATCAGAGTGTGTTACAGTTAGCCGGTGTCTTATAATATAAACACATTTAAACACCACACAATAGTTAAGAATAGAGTGTGCAACACATTTCTAAACAACTAGTTTCTAATAACTGATTTCTTTTATCTTTGCCATGATCATAGTTAATAATATTAGACTAAATTTTCTTCAAGACACTAGAATTCAGCGTTAAGTGACATTTAAAGGCTTAACTAATTAGGGTGAAGTTAGGGTAATTAGGCAAGTCATTGTATAACAGTGGTTTGTTCTGGAGACAAAACAAAAAATATATAGCTTAGGGGGGCTAATAATATTGACCTTAAAATGCCTTTAAATCTGCTTTTATTCTAGCCGTAATAAAACAAATAATTATAGGAAATACTGTGAACAATTCCTGAATCATTTGGGAAATATCTGGAAAGTAAAAAAAAAAAAAATCAGGAGGGCGAATATCTTAATAATAATCATCACCTCGTCACTTTCATCATTAATGGTATTACTTTTACTTTTGTTATCATTATAATTATTATTACTGTTTTGACTTGTCCTCTGGTTATCTCCTCATTATCACTATTTATATCAAGTATTTATACCAATGTCGTTATTAAGGTAACTGTAGTTGTAGTAGAAGTAGTAGTAGTAGTAGTATCGATTGTGGTTGTGATTATTGAAGTAGTAGTTGTAGTGGTTCATGTAGTAGTTGATGTTGTTGGTATAGTGGTATCAGAAGTAGTAAAGGTGTTGTAGTAGTCGTAGTAGTAGTCGTTGTTGGTGTAGTATTATCAGTAGTAGATGTTGTCGATGTAGATGTTGTAGTAGCAGTGATTGCTGTAGTAATATCAGTAGTAGTAGTGGTAGATGTTGTTTTTGTAGTATTCGTTGTAGCAGACGCTGTAGTAGTATCAGTAGTAGTAGTTGTTGTAGTAGTATCAGTATTAGTAGACATTGTATTAATAGCCATGGTTGTGTCTGTAGCAGCAGTAGTAGTTGTAATATTAGTAACTTTCTGAAGTAGTAGTTGTGTACTTGTAGTTTATTATTATTGTTGTTGTCAGTTATTATTATTATAGTAAACACACACACACACACACACACACACACACACACACACGCACCTACCAGTACCTGACTATTGTTGTTGTTTTTGTTTTGTTTTTTGTTGCTTTTGTTGATGTTTCTTTATATTTGTATGATCCCAATTTATGTACCTTTTTGCATATTCTAAAAAAAAAAAGTTTGGAGAAATAAAAAATAAATAAAATAATAATAATAATAATCATAAATAACCAAAAAAAGTGTTAATAAGTAACCACTTATTCCACTTACTTTATCAAAGTTTTCACATTTGGTCACATTTCATTTAAGGGTCTCTGAATATGAACAATATCTATAACAAAATGGCCTTATTAAAATATATCATGATCTTAATTACTGACACTTGCCATTAAAAATATAACAAATTTAGAAATCTTTAGACCCTCAAATGAATGTCTGGACATGAAATGACATGAGACGCAACAAATAAAGCTGATTCAGCACAGACAGCACTACAGCACAGCTTTACCTGAGGAATCAAAACTCTGAGACATGCTAAGAGGCCGAATGGCTGCAAGAAAACAGGCAGGAGTTTAGATTCACAACAGCAGAACAGTGTCAATTAACAATTATTATTAGGGAGACAGGTTATAGTGTAAGTGGCAGCGCTTGCGGGTGAGCTTCTGTGTATGAAAATATATGTGTTGAATTAATTTGCCTTATTTTGCATAATCTATACCAGGGGTGCCCAAACTTTTTCTTTTGAAGGGCTAAAAACCTAATTTGATTGAGGGCAGTGTTCTGAAGATATGTACTGTATATCCAACTGTACTACAAAGTTGCCATGGATAATTTCCTCATTTAATTCAAAATAAATAGAAAACATTACTTTCATAATCATATTAATTAATGCATTATATATTACATTTTATAATGGCCCTATTATAATGAAAACATAAGAATTCCATATATAACACAATGGAGTTTAATGCCGAATACACTAGCCAAGCTGCCTTTGCACGTTAAGCAACAGTATGCTTATTTCAAAAATTGGATTTATTCACATTTAATTAAAACATTTGCTTTTTTTGTAGCTTAACAATAAAACAAACCAATGAAAGGTTACGTTAAATTAGAAATGACAATGTGTATTAAAGGCATTAACCCCAATCCTTCCCAAAATTCTCCCTCTCTTCTTACATCGAAAACCCGAATAAGTTTACTGAACAGAATTAATTGAGTAAACTTATTGCCTTAAATTAATTGAGTAATAGAGTCTCCCAAAACTGGATAAAATTTTTGAAAAGTTGGGGGGGGGGGGGGGGGGGTTGGTAGGGGGCAGTGGCGGTGTTGTCGCGCACAACTTGAAAACGGGTGTTGGGGGGGCTGTCGTGCGCGAACTGAAGAGCTGGGGAGTGGATGTCGCTCGAGAACTAAAGAGCGGGGGTGGGGTGGTTGGGGGGGGATTTCTATCCAAGACTAAAAGGGGCATGTGCACTGCACAGGTTGAGCCCTATGTGTGCATGTTCCTGTGTGTAATTATATACTATTAAAAAATGTTTAAAATAAAAATAAGTGGCCATTTATTCCCATTATGGTGAATAAATATACATGAAGCCTTGTTTTCTGGTTAAAAAAAGACCTTCCACTAAAAGGTTGCACATATTCGCATTTTACAGCCAAGACTACACTACAGCACAAGGCTGGGGAAGGTTACAGAAACATTTCTGCTGCTCTGAAAGTTCCATTGAGCACAGCGGTCTCCATCATCCGTAAGTGGAAGATGTGTAACCACCAGGATTCTTCCTAGAGCTGGCCGGCCATCTAAGCTGAGTGATCGGGGGAGAAGGGCCTTAGTCAGAGAGGTGATCAATAACCTGATGGTCACTCTGTCTGAGCTCCAGCGTTCTTCTGTGGAGAGAGGAGAACCTTACAGAAGGACAACCATCTGTGCAGCAATCCACCAATCAGGCCTGTATGGAGGAGTGGCCAGACGGAAGACACTCCCCACCTGGAGTTTACCAAAAGGCATCTGAAGGACTCTCAGACCATCAGAAACTAAACTCTCTGCTCTGGTGAGACTAAAACTTCAACTCTTTGGAGTGAATGCCAGGCGTTGTGTTTGGAGAAAAGCAGGCAGCGCTCATCACCAGGCTAACAGCATCCCTACAGTGAAGCATGGTGGTGTTGGCATCATGCTGTGGGGATGTGTTTCAGCAGCAGGAACTGGAAGACTAGTCAGGATAGAGGGAAAGATGAATGCAGCAATGTACAGAGACGTCCTGAATGAAGACCTGCACAAGAGTGCTCTTGACCTCAGACTGAGGCGACGCTTCATCTTCCAGCAGGACAAGGACCCAAAGCACACCGCCAAAATATTAATGGAGTGGCTTCACAATAACTCAGAGAATGTCCTTGAGTGGCCCAGCCAGAGCCCAGACCTAAATCCTATTGAACATCTCTCAAGAAATCTGAAAATGGCTGAACACCATCACCTTCCATTCAACCTGATAGAGCTTGAGAGGTACTGCAAAGAGGAACGGGCACAAATTCCCAAAGACAGGTGAGCCAAGCTTGTGGCATCAAATTCAAAAAGACTTAAGGCTGTAATCGCTGCCAAAGGTGCATCAACAGAGTATTGAGCAGAGGCTGTGAATACTGATGCACATCTGATTTTTCAGCTTTTTTATTTCTAATAAATTTGCAAAAATTTCAAAACTCTTTTTCCACATTGTCATTGTGGCGGATTGTGTGTAGAATGTTGAGGAAATTAATGACTTTTATCCATTTTGGGATAAGACATAAAAATCATAAAATAATGTGGAAAAAGTGAAGCGCTATCAATATTTTCGGATGCACTGTATATATGTGTAAGAAACTAATTTAAATAAATAAATAAATAACTAAATAAATAAGGAAATGAAATAATAATACAAATTATTATTTAAACCAGGGGTTCTCAAACTTTTTTCATCAAGTACCACCTTAGAAAAAAATTGTCTCTCCAAGTACCACCAAAATGAGCAGTATTGAAATACAGTAGTGTAGTAGGCCCAGTAAAGCAGCTACAACTCTGCACAGTTGAAAAACCTGGCAGATTACCTCAGAAATATAGCCTATATATAATATATGGCATATTATATACATAATTTTTTATAAATTTTGAATTATACGTAGCATGTACATGACATATTTCATTCCTCCGTGTACCACTGGAAGGAAGCCTGCGTACCACTAGTGGTACACGTACCACAGTTTGAGAACCACTGATTTAAAGTATTTAATATTTATTTATATGAGAATTAAGAGTATTTTTTTTTAAATGCCTTTGAATTTTCTTTGTATAAAAAATCAAGGTGATCGAGTGCTATTTAGATGAAGCCGTCATTTCTCAAATGAATTCATTTTTAGCACCTCGTCTGACAAGTAATGCACCCCCAACAAAAAATCCTTGAGCCGTCACTGCTGGCATGTTGTGCCATTGAGACAATAAGAGACACTCATGACAGTATCAGCCATGTTTGAAGCATTTTCAGGCCACACATAGAAGATGGCACTTGTGTTGCAATCAGACTAAATGTCAAGGCGTCTTTATTTGTGTGATTGTTCATGTGAGCTGAACGTCACTCGTCTGATTACAACATGGAGCTGTGAGTGTGTGCAGTGACCTTCATACATGATCCATGATGCACATTCAGATCAAGTGACAACTCTTTTACAATGACATTTCTGTTCATCTTAAATGCAGGTACCGTACTGTATTCTTACCAAATCGACTCCTGCGGATCTGATCGGGCGACACGGGCCTCAATTTCCTCTCTGATTTGATCTCTTCAAGTATTCGCTCATGTAAGCTGGGAGGACGTTCGGCCTGTGGCTTGAGTTTTCGTGCTGCCACCTAAAATAACGCATATATTTAATGTATTTAAGATGCATTGAGTGAATTTTGTCAAACAATATTGATATCATAAAGCAGCACCATAGCAAATAAAACAGACGGAGCACATTTAGGCCACGCCCACACCAGGGAGGAAAATATCCAACCCTCTACGTCAGGGGTGTCCAAACTCAGTCCTGGAGGTCCTGCAAAGTTTAGCTCCAAGCCCAATCAGACACACCTGGGCTAGCTAATCAAGCTCTAATAAAAGTGTTGCATGCAGAACTGTTGCAAACAATTTATTTGTGTTGAATTTAAACAAACAAATTAACTTTAATGATGTTTAACTTAATTTGTTTATTTAAATTCAACACAAATAAATTGTTTACGACCACTTAACGTAAAAACATTGAGTAAATACAAGAAATCTCTGAATTATTTTTTTCAGTGTAGGCTTTCTAGAAACATCCTTGCAGCTGTGTTGAGGAATGTTGGAGCTCCAGGACCAAGTTTGGACACCCCTGCTCTACATTGATTTTCTATTGAGGAAAGCATTGTCATTTTTTTTTTTTTTTGTAAACAATTTTAATCAGGGCCACACGATCAGTGCTTAATTTGTAAATAAATAATACCCAGAACAAAACCAGGAAACAAAAGTTACCGTGACCGACGTCCACCACACAATTTCAGTTTTACTGGAACATGACGCCATTAAATGGTGATAGCACAAAAAAGACACACATTTCTGAACGGTCTATAACTATTTTCTGCCATATAACGTTATAGGCCAGTCATGGATGATAAAACATGTAGCTACAAAACAATCACTATTTAGTCCACTTCTATTATTACTTCATATTATGTGCCAATTGAAAAAAAAAAAAAGATTAAATAGCTCACAAGAAGAGCCCGCGGTTACCTCTTCGGTCATATTTTCTGGCTAACTTGAGATCGCTTTGCTTCTGTCTCCCGCTATCCTGATCCATTCGCAGGGTTTCATCTCCTCGAGATCTTTTTTGATCAGGCTCATTATCAGATTTACTCATGGATTTAAAAATGAAAATTTGCTTGACTGCCTCTTTGCTATTTTAAAAATACAGACATTATTTAGGTATGCCACTTTGACATTTAACATTTCACCAACCAACCAACCAATGAGAGTGATTGTAAACATAAGAAAGCTGATTGGCTGAAAATATTGTTGAGGGCCAATAATTAAACGCGACTTTTGCTTTAACTTGCGCATGGTGACTACCGTCATGTGCGTGTACGCGCACGCACAATCCACACAGCCTTCTCTTGCACTCATTCTCTTTTTCTCTCTCTCTCTCTTACACATACACACACACTGGATCCTTAAAAAAAATACCAGAAAGCAAAACACAAATATCTGAGATTTTCCGGAACAGGATCCAGCTCAAATTAAGCACACGATACAGGGAAAATATGCGATATGTGATATTGTCAATGAGTGTTGCAAAAACACACTATTTTATCAGCAACTTTAATTAAAAAACTTTTACTTATGTAATGATCATACTGAAATAAACAGGTAATAGCAATTTTTATGAGCTAAATAATTAAAGCAAACTATATCAGGGTGCGGGGTGGCTCGGCACGGTGGCTCTGTGGTTAGCACTGTGCCCTCACAGCAAAAAGGTCGCTGGTTCGAATCCCGGCTGGGCCAGTTGTCATTTCAGTGTGGAGTTTGCATGTTCTCCCCGTGTTGGTGTGGGTTTCCTCCAGGTGCTCCGGTTTCCCCCACAGTCCAAACACATGCGCTATAGGGGAATTGGATCAACTAAGGGCCTACTCACACTATGCCATCCGTACCGTGCCCAGGCCCGTTTCCCGGATTGTTTGAGAAGTGTGAGTGCGCTGAATCGGGCTCAAGCACGGTTCACTTTGCCGGCCCTGGCCCGGTTGGAAGAGGTGTGCCTGAGCGCGGTTCACTTGGGTTTTGGCGCGGTACGCTTGTGTGTGAGTGCAAAACGCGCCAAAGCCCGAAACTGAAAGCGAGACGTGTCTTTTAAGGGACTGTTTCATATGGATTTATTAATCATTCTTACTGTTCAGTGAACGCAAACTGCCGTAGCTTATTAAAGACACAAACCCCTCACTGGATGACAGCTGCACCTTCAGCAGACCTCCTCATTCCTGCAGCACGAGAGCTTTATGATTGTTTATGAGCGCCAAAAGTGGCGGATCTGTTCGGCGAATTATCTGACTGCGTGTCCCCGCATCCCTAAGGACTGTTTGGCGAAATATTTGACGGCATATCAAACGACTGAAACGATATAACTAGAGAAATCTCCACTGTGCTGCTGAGTGAAAGAGCGCTTCTCACTGAACAGCGCAGCAGCGATGACATAAGTGTGCCGAAGCCCGTTTGTGGTGTGAGCGCGGGCCGTCGGGGGAGACGGGAGGGGGGACATACTCGAACCGTGCTTTGGCCCGGTTCGAGGCAACTGTACCTAGTGTGAGTACGGCCTAAGGCAAGCCCTGATGAATAGAGAAGATGTGAATTAGGATCACTCACAGGATTGAGAGGTGGTCTGGATCTGATAAAATCCAGTATGACCTCATGAGCGCTCTTCTTTAACCTGGGAGGAATATCTCCATTCACCTGAGACAGAAAGAGAGACGGAGATCTGAACACATTTCTGTAGGCAGGTTAGGGTAATTAGGCAAGTCATTGTATAACAGTGGTTTGTTCTGCAGACATCTGAAACACAAATATTGCTTAAGGGGGCTAATAATATTGACTTTAAAATGGTTGTAATGAAATAAAAAACTGCTTTTATTCTAGCCACAATAAAACAAATAAGACTTTCTCCAGAAGGAAATAATATATGGAAATACTGTGAGAAATTCCTGAATCTGTTCAACATCATTTGGGAAATACTTAAGAAAAAAATAAATAAATCACAGGAGGGCGAATAAGTTAGATGTCAACTGTATATAGTTATTGTTTATTTTTTTCTCAATCTCAGTTATTTAAAGGGCACCTATGGTGTAAAATCTACTTTTTAATAGTCATATTGGTGATATAAACACACACAGCTTTTTTTTTTAATTTAACAACATAAAAACAGTGGACCAATTGGAGCGGTATTCAGAGCGACCGCAACTTGACATAGGAGTGCGGCCCCCCCGCCCACCAATGCTGATTGACAGGAGCGTCAACATATCCTCAGTTTGTTGATTCATGTCCACCATTTTCAGCGTGTGAGTCAAAGCAACACAATCTCACGGCAATTCGTAACTTTTTCATTTAGTGGCTAATTGGTATGAATTCGTACGATCTAATTCGTACAATTTAGTACGATTTGCTTATCCCCCAATGACGGTTGGGGTTAGGGGTGGGGTTAGGTGCCACACCTCCTTTTTAAAATCGTATCATTTCGTACAACTGAAATCGTACGAATTCGTACGAATTAGCCACTAAACTGGCAAAACGTAAAATACTTACGTTTTCTCGTGAGATCAGGCTGGTCAAAGCGATATCACTAAAGGAACACCCGTGCTCTATTTTTAGATGTAAGGCTCATCGGGCTCAACACAAGATCAACATTCTCCGCATTATCGCTTTAATCAGAATTATTGTTTGTACCTTTTGGTAGGTTTGCAAACATGTGTACTTTTCATTACGTCTACCTTAAACTTCAGCCGGTCGCATCACAGAAGCTCCCTGTGATCTTAACTAGGTGCAGCTGGAAAAGTGCGAGCGCGTTGTCTTATGTGCGCATCTCTCCATTGGAAATATTATAACAAACTTGCCTGCAGGTCGCACACCAGAAGCGCCTCTTTGCGTGGCGCCGTGCATTTCGGAGTTCTGGGCGTGGGTTTCTGTCAGGGTGCAAGTGGCGTCGCCTCAGGTCGGCAGCTGGGCGGTCGCCGACTTGGGGCGCCGTTGTGTTTGTCCTGGTGGAGGCCTGTGTTTGGAGTTCTGGAATGCATGGCGCTGCATGGTACGACGATTCGGGACACTTCATGTTTCTGCTGCACCACTGAGAGTGTCTGGTGTGTCGTGTCGCGGCACATCCGGTGCCTCAGTCAAAGTTAATTCAGTGTGCGTGGTTATTAGTCTCATTGTACAAGCTCGGCACTTGAAACTAGCACACAGTTGGCTGTAGAACTATACAAAGACACAAATGATTTTGTACTTTCCGCTTGGTCTGTGTCCGAGTCGTACATGTACAGCTGAATGCTGATCCTAGCTTAGCTTAGTCTGTCAGCCTGTCTGTTGCAAACACAGAGCGTGGGAGTTCTTGGCTCCGCCCCCTTGTTACGTTGGGCGGGAAGCCAAAACTAATTTTCATGTGAAGCAACACGCCCCTAAAACAGCGAGCTCTGAATACACCATCACTTCTGAACACATTATAATAAAATAATCTGAGCTGTGTGTTGAACTGAACCTAAACTGACACACTCAGAATAACCATAATACTAATAATAAATCATAAAAAAGGGGTAAACTATGTGCCCTTTAAATATTCTCTCTGTCCTCTTGTGTTGATATACATGTATGCGCCCACACCACACAAAACTCATAGTGTCCAGATACAAACGCCTGTTGTGTTCTCTGAGCTCACCATGACTTTGCGCAGCTTGTAGCGTTTTGCGCGGATGTCGTCCATCAGCATCTCGTATGGCGTGAGCTGAAACTCTATGGGCAGCGGGTTATACTGCCGTTCCTGCACCTTCTTCAGCTTCACACCATTCCTCAGATCCCGCATCACCTGCACCCACAGCCACGCCTGACCACACGAGAGATTACAGTTCAGTTTTAGCTCGTTTAATAACAGTTAAAAGTTATTATGTACTTGCCTTAAGAACAGTAAATGAATTCAAGAGTCCTAATCAATCAAGTCAGAGAGTCAGTGTATTTCTTGGTTTCAATATTTTTATTATCAGAAAATTTCACTGACATTTACTTAAAAATACACTTTTATTATTTTATTTTATTAAACATAAAACTTGCATTCAAACAATTAAAGATTTGAAAAGTAAAGAAAATAAAATAATAATTGAAAACAACAACAAAAAAAAACAGTCATGAAATTAATAATTACTTAATACTTATAAAAAGTAATAATAATAATAATAAAATAAATAATAAAATAAATAATAAAATAAATAAATAAATAAATAAAAACATGCATTCCCCCAACCAACCACCCACCAGTGCTATCCAACAGTAAACGTAGGTACTAAAGGCATAGTAAACATATTAATTACAAGTTTGTAAAAAGGAAATAAAAGTGGACCTTTTCTGTTATTTTTCTTTTCTGTTATTTTTGCTAAATAACAGAACCTTGTCTATTAAGGTATACCTGATTTTTTTCCAGATGTAGTGTACCTGTTAACTCTGTCAGCCATAATTTTAGAGTTGGAACTTCTTTTTTCTTCCAAAACAAAAGGATGAGTTTTTTAGCAGAGATCAACCCATATTACACAAACTGTTGTTGTACCCGTGTAAGTCTCAAGAATTCTTCGGAAACTCTAAATATAATTAATATAGGATCTGGTTCAATCGGAAAGTCTAGTGTAGCTGGAAAGACTTGAAATATTTTGTTCTAGAAACTCTGTAATTTGGGACACATAATAGGAATGAGACAGGTTGGAATCTAAGAACTGACATTTGTCACACACTGGGGACACTCCTGGAAATATTTTATTTAATTTACACCTGGAATAATGAAGCCTATGAAGCACTTTAAACTGTATGAGACAGTGTCTTGCATTAATAGAACATTTGTGAACCAGTTCAAGACTTTGTTCCCAAATTTCACTTAGAATTTCTACTGCAAGTTCTTCTTCCCAAGGAGATTTAATGTTCTCCACAGATGGACTTTTCATCTGTTCTAAGCCCTTGTAAAGCAAGGAAATGGTACTACTATCTCTTAAACAGCTTTCCAGAAATGTGTCCAGATACATAGGTGATGCTGTGGCATAATTAGTAATGCTAGACTTCACAAAGTCTCTTATTTGAAGGTATCTAAAGAAGTGATTAGAAGGAATATTGTATTTCTCACACAGCTGCTGAAATGAAGCAACATTTCCATCTACATATAAATCCCCTACTTTTCACAATCCTACACTGTTCCAAAACTCAAATGCATTATCTAACATCGAAGGGCGAAAAGCGGGGTTAGCTGAGATGGAGAGCAAAAACGACATTTGGGTAAATTTGAAATGAGTCTTTAACTGTTTCCAAATACGAACAGAATTATGAATAACAGGATTATGATTATAAAATGACCTAGTTATACCTTTAGGTGATAAAAGGAGTCAGTGTATTTCTTTTGTTAAACAAATATATTTAGCAGAAAAAATTAATAAGTAAAGAAGGTAACTTTCATCAGTGGAGCATTTAAAGAATAATGACTTAGGAAATTAGGCAATGACATTTAGCATAAATTGGTTAAGAAACGATCAACAGTCTCAGAAATTAATAGCAATGTATTATATCTTTGGAATTGGGGTCATCGCTGTGAAATGTTTTCATGTCTTGATGCTTATTCTTTTTATATTTTCTTCCTTTTTCCCAAAGTGATTTTGTTAAACTAAAAATGGTATTAAAATTCTTAAGTATTAAACTTTTAAAAAGCAAGCTAAAAGGCCACATTTGACTCAAATTTAAACAATTATGTGTTTAATTTAAATATTCTTTGCATTAATATTTATAGGGATTTAAGCAGTACGGGATCAAGTAAAAAAAAAAAAAAAGCTTTTCCTACATAATAAGCAAATTAAATAAAATTTTAAATTATTAACCCAAAACTGATCTAAATACTTCTAAAACTCGTAAACCCGCGCTATAGAAGACACTAGATTCCTTTCTCAACTCAGTTCGGTTAAAATGCTCCTCCCATCAGATCACCACTTCATCTGTATATTAATAGTCATTTATACTAAACTGAGGAAGGATGTGGCAAAATTAGAGCCAATCAGAA